ATTGTGAGAGCTTCGCAGCCCTATCAATTACAAGAACAGCTGTGGAGTCCCTACGTGCGCTTCCGAATGTATGGTGCACGTAAGAACATCTTCTACGCTTGGTAAGCGAAGTATGCAGTTCGGCAAAGAATGAATTTGAAATATTGGCTTTAAGAACCCAAAGCTACACTGCGTATAGTGAGAAACATTGCACTCGATGGTCTAAGGATTAACCTTAGACCCCTGTGTTTTTTTTAACATTAGCTTAAGTTAAGTGGCTTTGGCTTGGCAAAGATTTTGAAATTTCCTTTTAGTTAAATGCAATAGCACTTTCTCAGATGGTAAAATGATTCTAATATAAAGCATATTGCATTTAGGAATGATATCTGAATTCAAACAACCACCGGAAGTGAAATTTTGGCTGAAAGTCATAGTTTTTTTCACCAGAAATACCAAAGATTGATAAGAAATAAATTTGAAGCACCAGGTTCATAAATCTGTAACACAGCACAAAAATCAGGCCACGTATTCACGAATGTCATCGTACATTAAAACATGTAATGATGAGTAGTTTTCAATAGTTGAAAGATTGTTACGATGCTAACACAACGAATTTCACAAAAGTCCTACTCGCAGATCAGTGACACACTTCAGAACAGCATGCTCACACAATGCATTTTTCGTCAATAAGAAGTAACAGAAAAAGAAGCCAAGGGGACGTTATTAGTACTAAATGCAACGTAAGTACGAAAAAAAGGAAAGTGGACGAGAAGACAACTTGCCGCCGGCAGGGACCAGGGACCGAACCTGCCACTTTCGAATGGCGCATCCAATGCTCGACCAATTGAGCTACGGCGGCAGTGATCCCCCCCCCCGTCCACTTTTCAGTTCAGTTCAGTTTTACTCATTCAAAATACAAAGTTCACAGTTAAAATAATGCAGACGAGGGTCCCGAAGTCGGGCGACTGCAGTGGGACCCTCATCAGTGGGACTTTATGGGGTACATACGGGCATTTAAACGTGGGAGTGTTAGTCAGCACCGCCAGTAGCCATGACGACAAGTGTGGAACGCACTTTTTCTTCATACTGGGATATTAACATTATAACTATTAGTGTTATTAGAAGCCATTTTTAATGGCACAAAAGAAGGGGGGGGGGGGGGCAGAAAGAGCTCCACACTTGCCGCAGTGGCAACAGGCGGCGCTGAATGACGCTCCCATATTTAAGTGCACATATATCTCCCATAAAGTGGACAGCGGGATGAACAACTCCACACCTAAGTGGTAAAGCATCGAATGCATTACTCAGAGGTCTCGTGTTCGGATCCTGCCAACGGCGAGTTATCTTTTCATCCATCCACTTTTCTTTGTTCACGTTTACCTTACAACTGCTTCCAATAATATCCCCTATAGACCTCCTTGGCATCATTGCCTGTTCTCGTCAATGCTGTGCTTGAAGAAAAAAGTGGTACCTGAAATTCCCCCATCTGTTTTGTTGACATTATGTATCGTTGGGAATGGTTTGTGAAATTAGTTGTACCACGACATTAGGTTGATTCAAAATGCATTAAACTTGTTTTTTTTTGGCGACAGTGGAAGTCCAGACTTCAGAGTTCCAGCCAAGAGTCACAAGGCTTATGCAACGCCTTTGCAAGGAGACTATAGTCACAAATAAGTGGCACGAAATCTGAAATAAGTAAACAACTATCAGTATTATTACAAAGGTTGAATGGCACATAGGCTACAATGTTAAAAATGTTAAAATAGATGTGTAATGCATTTCCCAAAACCTGCACTAAATGTCTAAATAACCACTGTTCCCTGAATTATTTTAAACTGATCTATTTTTTTTTATTATTTTTGGACTACAGAGTTGAACAAAATTATTCTTTTGGCCCGAAATGGGCAGACTGCACAAAAATGCCACACTTGCCTGACACTTTCACAAATCAGTGCCAGGTTTGAGAGAAGTATGCCAGGTGTTTCACTATTGAGCTTTACATTTTTTTTTTCTTCCATGTGAAAATCACCCGTGCAAATAACTTATGTGACCTCGAGCGACAGATCGCCGAGATTATAATCCCCATAAATCATAAGCTTACTGTAACCATAAGCTTTAACCGTAACGCCTACTTTTGAACCCCACATATAATTAATCTGAGATGCAAGGATTAAATGTCAATCAATAGAGGCACTTTCAGTTTATTATTCGCTCAAAAATGACTAGGTTTACAGTTGGTAGCATGCAGCCGAGGGCCCCAAAGTCAGGCGACCAGTTTCGCGAGCAGTCGAACTTCAAACTCCAGTCAGGTTTGGTAAGTCAACACAATTTTTTTTTTGTTTTTGCTTTCGATTACAGAGTCGTCGCAAAAACCACGACCGATTCCGGGATGTCGCCGTTGGGCTGCGGTAGTGAAGTCTCACTTCCGCGACAATTACAGGAAGAGATCACTCATTACCACGCAGAAAAAAAAAAGGGAGAATAAGAAAAAAAAAGACCGGAAAACCGATTCCATTTCCCAGGCGAATACGCGCTCGATTCCGTCTACGCACGGTGCCAACCCTTCCCAGCAGCAACACACCCCATTCTAACCCAGCCCAACAAAGGATGTGTCGTTGCTGCGTAGCAACGCAGTTTTTTTTTTTTTTATTCGATACCGTTCGTGCCAGGCGCTCTTTCGAAAAGGTCAGCAAAATAACGAGACAACGAAAAAAAAAATAAAAACTAGGAGCTCGCGTGGTCACCGCGTTGGCATGTTGCAAACTCGGCGAAGCGCCGACGTTTTGTCTCGCATGTCACGACGCCGGTGTTTTTCTTTTTTTTGTAAACGCCGGGAAGTTGGCCCTTTGCAATGCGTATAAGAGAAAGATTAGGCAAACATCTCGGTGTGTAGGATTGTGAGATGCCCTGAAGGTCTTTCTCTCTTTGTGTCAAGGAAACATCGCTGTGCGCGCACAGTGGACACAGCAGCATATAGAACAAAAGCAACGCTTCTGTGAATTTTCTTACGCGGCACATCAGTATCGCAATGACCAATCCCCGACTACCGGCAAAACACCTCTGGGAACGGCAGTTTGCGAGGCGTCGTTAGGAGGGTCTTTCTTGCTCCTCTCTCCGTATCAAGGAATCGTCGCGACTGACAAACCATGCGCACGGCTTTTCCTATGTACCCCCCTTACTCTATGCTCCGTAATAGAGCCTGTAAGGTATTTTTAAATAAATAAATAACTTTCTTACTGTTGACGTTCCGCGCGACATATTGATATCGTAACGATCAGTTTCCCGATTTACGATAACCGGTTTCGACCTGCATATATAGCTTCGAAGTATTGATTGCCTACTCACGAGCGGTAAAAGAAAATACATCAACATTAATCAAGAGTCATCGTCCCTAATATTTCGAAGATTAATTTGCTGTTTTAGAATACCATTGTGCCGTGCATTTACATCTAACTCAAGAAATACACTTTAATTTTATTGTGGTGAAAGGCTACGGAGTAGCATATCAAGCACACTCAAGAGCAATATATTTCAACATAAAACTGACAAATCGATTAACAAACTTGATCGTTGTCGTCGAGGAGAAGGTCGTTGTTTCGAGGAGAAAATATTAATGACGCCACATAAAGAGAGTTGATAGGTGCGAACATATCAGCTTTGTGGGAAAACCGCTTACAGCGTTACATTATTAAGGGTCGTTGGGTCTTTTTGTCTGCCGTAACTATTTTCGGAGCTTACTACACTAAAAAAAAACGCATTGAAAACGCATTTCACGTGTTCGCAGCAGTGAAAGATTCAGCTAAGCAGCTACAACTAAAGTAACCATAGTTTCGATGAGTTGGGAGCAAGGCGTTGCAGCGTTAAAAATTAAGAAATACAAGTTATCGCACATGAACTGCTGGCAGTGTAGTCGACTCTGATGAATGAAATTTCCAATCACCACACAGGGCTTAATAAATCGAGGATGGAAGTCTCAAGAACACAACCACTCAAACTTCTTTTTTGTTAACCTATCAAACAAATCAGTTGACACATCGTTAACAGTGCCAAAACTATGAACTCGCCTACAAAACTTCCAGGCAAGAACCACGCGGTTTGAACTACAAAAACGAGCTTTAAAAGCGCATTTCCAACTATGCAGTGGATAATCTCCGAAATTCAGAAGTCGCTAACAGTCGTAAAATCACACACACACACATGTAAGGTCGCGAGATGCAAAGCACGTGAAATGCAAGATACGTCACGCGCCAACACGTACCCAAAAAACCAATGGGACACGACTCGACAAGACCACCTTTGACTGACGTAGATATCCTACCGTTTAGCTCGAAATAAAAATCCACGCTCGGCCAGTGGCGTCCAAAAGACTCCTCGCGAGCCGGTGTCAATCCTGCGATGCGGCGAGTCTCGAGAAAAAGTCGAAACACCCACCTGTGATATCACTCAACCGACGCACGTCATATCCACAAGGGGAATCGTCGCGACTAGCGCATTGCCGTCGCCTTCTTGCTACGACAAGCTTCTCTCACCCTCGCCGCCTCTTTATCCGGGAAGCCCCTCCTTCTCGTTGCGATAGAAACCGGCCGTCAACTAATACAACAGACACACCGTTGCTACCGGCAACGTCAGATAAGATAAGCATTCAAACCCCCGAAAGTCGGAGCTCCCTATGCGCCCTGCGCGGCGCGCTCTGCAAAACTAGCACTTCATAGAAATCCGAGGCAATCACGAACGGGTCAGCTGTCAGAAAAACGCTAACACCCCAAGCGCCGATGACCTCAACCTAGCAGCGTCTTTTGTTTTGTTTTTTACGCATTTCTTTCCGGCGATTCACCTTGGCTGAAAAAGAAGCCACCGCGAGCAACTCGACGAGGTGGGTTAACAAACACAACAACGAAAAACACAAACCGGCCAGTCGCTTGAAACGCGCGCCTGGCGCGCGTGTGTTTACATGTTCAACAAGCGGACGCTTCAAAAAGAAACACAAAAGGAGCGAACCAAACAACGCAAGAAGTACTCACCGCTTCGTTTGGTTTCGTGGTTGCGCACGGGCAGTTCACAACAAAAAAGAAACCCTTTCGAAGAAGGCAAAGTGATGTGACGATGTTACATGCTACGTCTCACCCCGGCGTCGCGACTTCTTCCGTTGCACTTTTTTTTTTTTCTTTAATTCCTCGAGGTGCACACACAATCCGTGAATACCAGAGCGACCGAGGCAGGGTCTTCTCTCTGAAACACGGCAGAAAAAAAAAAAAACACCCAACTACAACATCGCGCGTTGAAGTGCTTTTCTTCTGGTCGACACCACCCCAGCGCTGCTCACGAATCCCCGTTACTTCCTTCCTTCCTTTCCCGGTACTTCTTTTTAACTTCCTTTTGTTTCTCCGGGGCTTGCTCGTTACAGGAAGTCAACTGGCGACGTCTGATGTTTCACGGAGGGGGGCTGGGGGTGGAGGAAGCAATTTAGGAGCGGCCGTCCGCCTTCTTTCCTCGACGATGCGGGAGTCTGACCCGATCCTTGCTTCACCACCGCGGTGTACGATCAAAGATCGTCGACGCCTCCTGATCAACGATGATGCGCGCTGCGTGGCCGTAGGATTTGGCCGTGCGCCACGGAGGGAACCCCTTCCTTATCGATGACATCGTAGTTGCTCCTTCGCCTCGGCTATTTTCAAAGGCGCATCGGAGTAGGTTGGATCGAGCGCCGCACCGCAGTGCAGCACAGGGGAGAAGCGCGCGCCGGTGCAAACTATGTTAAAGCTCTACAATACACCGAAACCACTACACACCACCGTCTCACTGGAACATAAACGGACACGGGTCTCCGCGAAAGACGATGCCGTCACTTGAACCAGAGTAGCTCGCAGTTGTATCGCGCTGTTGTCCCGAGTTGTTGCCGTGCGATGAACGATCCGTCGTCGTTAGTGTTTCTCGACGCTACGGTAAACGTAGCGTTGCTGTCACTCGTGGGAAGACGCAACGACGGGACGCGCTAGATTAGGCCACGAAGGCGGGTGCCCGTCTTTTGCAGGTACTACAGAGAGGAGGCGGTGATCCAGGGCGCGTCTGAGAGGAAAACATTATTGCAACCGAATTAACGTCGTAGACGGCGCCGCCATCTTTGATGATGAGCAGCGGCGGAATGTTGTTGCCAGCAGGCACACGAACCGAAAGGTCATTACGATTGCGTTGGTCGCGTCGTTCGTACCTGCCAATTACTTTTTTTTTTTTTGGCGCACTCTCTTATCTGCGGTATTTCAAACTTGGCAACGGGCGCGCGCACAGTCTTGCTTCTTAAAACGAGTGCGGCCTTGCGTAGAAGTGTAAAATGCCTATGTTTACCAATGAGCTAACGCACGTGCACAAGGTTGCGTTTCCGCGTGCATTTTTTCGTTTCCTTTCGCTCTGTTTGCGCAGTTTCGAAACCGCATAAACCTTTGGAACGCCTTCTATGAATCACATGGGAATTGGTTTCTCATTCGTTTTAAGGGCAGTGCCATATTTCGTTCAGGAAAGACAGCCCCGCCTTTGAGCCCTGCCAGAAGTTTGTGCGACAACTTCACCGCGGCTTTATCAATTTCTTTATCACTCGCCCTTCACGCTCTAAGCCAATTCCGCTTTCGATAAGGCAAGCGAAAGCGCCGTTCAGCCCACTCGCTACGTTATGAAAAGCGAAAAGAAAGTATCGTTGCAATGATTATCTCGACTCATATCTAAAACGCCAGACGGGCATCAATATGCATCATTGGGCTGAGCATGCAGTTTCAGGCACTGGAATATCTAAAGAATAATCCAGTGTATTTTAACATGACATTGAAGAGGATATCTAATGAAGGCGAGTCTACGAGGCTGTTTCTTTTCAAGTCGCTGTGACCAAGTACAGCCAGATAACAGATGATTTGCAACGTTACTGAAGCAGCCATGTTGGAACACCACCATGGTGGTGTGCTACCTTTGCGACGTTTTAGCAGCGGATCGCGTCCTTCGTTACTCATGCACAGGGACCCAATAACGTTACAACGACGTCGTTAACACCGTGATGCAGGTTAATCGCCGCATGATTGAAATGCCTTGAGGTCATCCAAGCGGCCATGTTACGCGTCCATGGCGTCTTGTGCCAGCTACTAATAGACGTCAGACTCTACAGTTTTGCGGACACGAAGCGCCACCTGTCAACGCAGTTTTGAGTAGTGCAAAGCCCTGCTTCCTTGCACAGTTTGCTGCGCAACCAGGTGCAACTACGGCGTACGAACCAACGATTGAGCTAAGTATTATGTGTATTTGCACATTGAACACTCAGAAAAAGAGCTACGAATGTCTCTCCCCTAGTCAGACGCGTCGCCGAAGCGCCGTGAAGTGCTTGCTGGTTCACTCGCCTGAACGAAGGAGAAAACAAGAGTTAGTTGAAAGTTGAAATTTATTTCACCACAACGATACACCGTGATTTACACAAACAAGAAACAATTGTGGCATGGAAAGTAGGAAAAAAGCTGCGCTATAGCAGCTTGACTAGCCCTACCTCCCATTTGTACAAGGCAACAGAAACAATGGCACACCAAACTCCATACGGTGCTCACGTATGATTGAAAGAAAAAAAAGAAAATAACGTTCTAGTGGTTGTTTATGAAGTACAGAATAGATGCACACTTGGGTGTTTACAAACAAACAGTTATTGGGAAAAAAGGCAACCAAAATAAGACGCTATAACAGAAAGGGGTACACTTAAAATTTCATGCATTTACAAGTACTGGGTGTAATTTTTTTGGGTTTATAGCTCCTTATACAAACAGGTTTAATATATCACTACTTGAAAGGAGACGCAATTGCTGTTCTGTGAGCTTGAACTTATTTAGTATATGGGGAACAGAGTGTTTTAGCATTTGGAGTCCGTAATTTGTTCGCGGTCGGGGGATGTGCCAGTGTTCAGAACTCCGCATCGGACGCAACAAAATTTTCGGCTGTAAATGTGCTAAGCCTCTCAGGTTTGCGCAATTCTTTCGAATTTCAGACCTCAAAGACAACAACAAGTTATGTTCATATGCAACACAAAATTTTAAAACTTTAAACTTGACAAATAAATGGGATGTGTGTTCTCTGTAACCTATATTTGCAACAGCCCGTAAAGCGCTTTTTTGAAGTGTATACAACTTTTGTTTTGATGTTTCAGTTCCAGAAGCCCATACCAACTGACAATAGCGTAGATGAGAACAAAAAAGCGTATTAAAGATAAGAAGTTTCTGGGGGAGCGGTAGAAACGACTGACACCTTCTCAGCACGCCAAGGACTTTTCTTAGCTTAATACACAATTGTTCAGTGTGAGAATTCCAGAACATATGTTGATGAAAGATGACGCCCAAAGTTTTGACAGTCTCTGAAAGTTCGATATTGAAATTATTTAGCATCAGTTTTTGTGTGTACGTACATGTCATTCCTTTCGCACGGAAAAGAACGGCCTTGGTTTTAGAGCTGTTGATCTGTAACAAATTTTGGCAGGACCATTTCGAAAAATTGACTAACGTTTTATTAGCTGCTTTTATCAAATCGTCTATATTTGTTCCCGTAAAGAATAAGCTTGTATCATCTGCATAAATAATGTACGTTATTAAGTGATCCACATTTACAATATCATTGATATAAAGGTTAAATAGAAGAGGTCCTAATATGCTTCCCTGTGGTACACCGCGTTTGATTTTTTTGGGCATAGATGTTTGCCTATTTATAGACACACACTGGTACCGATCACTAAGGTAGCTTTCTATTAAATCGAGCGCGATGCCTCTAATCCCGTAATAAAACAATTTTTCTAACAAGGTTTGGTGATCAATTCTGTCGAACGCCTTCGTAAAGTCTATGAATATGCCTAATGTTAGCTTTCTTGCTTCAATGTTGCCCAGTATCAACTCTTTTTGATGCAACAGCGCTGTCTCCGTCGATATGCCAGACTTGAACCCATATTGTGCTGTTGTAATCACAGAATGCAAGTCCAAAAATTTATACAATCTAGTGAAAATGATTTTTTCTAGAGCCTTTGAAAATATAGGTAATACCGATATTGGCCGGTAATTACTCATTTCATTTTTGTCACCACCTTTATAAAGCGCTGCAACTTTGGCATTTTTCATCCGCTTAGGGAACATACCTGTGCTTAAAACAATATTATAAATATGCGTCAGGCAGGGTGATAATAAATCAATAACAAAGATAACCGGTTCCATTTTTATGCCGTCAATGTCCTCACGTTTGCTTTTTTTAAGTTTCATGAAAACGTTGTTTACCTCAGTTTGCTCCGTAGGGTCAATAAATATTGAGGGGGCTATAGGTGTTGGCATGTGACTTAATGCATTTCCGTCGTAAGTACTTTCTGACAAAGAAGTAAAGTACCCATTGAATTTATTGGCTAATGCTTTTCCTTTAAATATATGATTATCAATTGTAATTTCGTCGACACCGGGCGTCCTATTACTTGAAGATATAATTGTGTTTAGTTTTTTCCACATTTGCTTGACATCTACGATACCGTTAAAAATAGTATGGTAATAGTCGCGTTTGGCTTGCCTTAAAGATTTTGAAAGACTGTTTCTGTAGGCCCTAAACGCTTTCAGTGCATTCAAATCGCGATTTTTTAAGAACACCTGGTACAGTCTGTTTTTCGTACGTATCATTTTCAATATACTTAACGTTAGCCAAGGCTTACGTGCGCCTTGATTGATTGATTGATATGTGGGGTTTAACGTCCCAAAACCACTCTATGATTATGAGAGACGCCGTAGTGGAGGGCTCCGGAAATTTAGACCACCTGGGGTTCTTCAACGTGCGCCCAAATCTGAGCACACGGGCCTACAACATTTCCGCCTCCATCGGAAATGTAGCCGCCGCAGCCGGGAGCTGTTGCGCCTTGCAGACGCAACAGCTCCGCGCTATACGAAAAAAGACCCCAGTCTGTGCTACTGTTGCGTTGTGAATTGCCACGGACGCAAATGACTTCAGTTTTACTGATTTGCGCAGCTTTCGCAAAGCAGAATGGCGAGAGCGCTAAATACAGGCCGTTGCGAACGTGTTGGGCAAGCGATTTACTAGCATTTTCCACAGTCGTTCGCTTGAGTAAGTGTGATAATGTAGGTCTCCTGTTATTGTCCTGTTATTCTTTTGAAGTAGCTTTGACGGAGAACCGTAATAACTTTGGATATGAAGCTTAACAGACCCTCTGACCACGGTGCGAAAATAGACAGGTGACGCTCGGCCGCGATAAACATCGCACACGCTGCGACCACCGATAATCTGAAGCTGTCGCCACCACACAGCATCACGCACGTAGGAATTTAAAGGCTCTAAATCCCGGCTTTAACGAAGAAATGCGAACACGTGCGTCATACTCGTGAATCGCAAAATAATCGCGATTATAGTGAGTTTTTGTTTTGTTTTTGTCGTTGATCTCCAGGATTATCGGAACTATATCGGAGGCATCGGCTTTGCCTTTCGTTGTACACTGAGAAAGTGGAAACGCATGTATCTCTGTCTGCAGTATATAAAAACGAAAGAATACCGTCAACAGGGCATTCGAGCAGGTGTAATAAAACAGTTCAATGCAAAGGAAGCGAGAAATCCTCAGAACCATTCGCACCGGATAAAGCGAGCTTTGTACCTATGATCGCATAGATTCTTCCTGTATGCACTTCATCGCTTTGGCATCATGCGCATGCAAATTTAATGTATTTAGGCATTACAGAATGCACATCAGAGTGCTTGTTTCAAACTAGATGTCATGCGATGCTCGCTTGCATGTAAATTGCCAGTTGCAGCAAGCCAAAATAAATGAAACATCTTCTGCATCGTGCCCGCATTCCCTTTGATGAGCTTCCTACTTTTATGAAGCGAGGTCAGATTTAAGGAAGAAGCTTGCCAGGTCCTTGATTTTTAAGAAACCACGACTCAAGACCAACGAAAGAGGAGGGCTACACGTTCGCTTGCGGACGGCTCTCTTGTGCACTACCCATTTATGGCCGGCGCTGGTGGTGGCGTTTTTCGCAGTGCCGCCTGGGCAGAGTCTGACGTCCATAGGATAACTAGATACACCATGAAAAATGGAATATACACACTTTATTATATAATCAGCTTACAAATCGTCACACAGAGTATACCTTAATGTATATACAGCGAAATAAACTACACGTTGTCCCTTGGTTCTGTCGAAGTGTACCGAGAATGTACAGCCGTCACCGCCAGTCGTTCATCACTTGCTCGTACGCCTCAGGATCGATAAAAGGCTCGTCAACAGACCTTGAATAATAAACAACAACAAATTACACACGCGACGACGCAAACAATACAGTTTACGTACATATATACAATGCAGCGATATGGAAACCCAGACTGCAGCACGTGGGTGCATGATCGGCACGATGTTTTAGAGAACTGGTTTTACATTTCGCAATGGTGATTAAGCGGGCTTGGCACACCACTGGGATTTAAGGCGCCAAGAATACCCCTCGTCAAATGAAAAATTAACGCATAAAACATCAGGGGGCGACATCCACATTTCGCTTGAAACAGCAGGAACAAAAAAATATTTTCGCTCTTATCGACACTCATGTTATGGCGCAAATTTTCTAGAAAAATCTACATATTACGGTCTTCATCATTCAGTTTAACAATTGCCAGTACTACTCTCAGTGTAATAGTTTGCTTGGAAGTATACACCGTTTAGGGTGGCGATAAAGGGTACTCCCACCGCTTTAAATGGTTCGCGAACGACTTTTCCACGCAATAATCAGTTGACCTCGGCATTGGAGTTCTCATGGTATCAGAGGATCTTGCGGATCGAAGGCCATAAGGTTTTCTTAATTTTTTTTAATCCTTCAAGTGCGCAGTTAAAGAGCCTTTTAACCAACCCGCTAGAGGTTGAAATTCAGTTGTGGTGCAAAAGCTGTGCACAAATGTAATGACCACAAAGCCGTGATAATATTCAGGAACACTACCGCCTTTTGTTATCGAAACGCGACGATCACTCCATGCACTTTTTTCTTCACTAGCCTTTGTTGGCATTCTCTCCCAAAGCTGTCTTGCCGAGCACTTCTCCTAACTCACGCGAGATAGGGCGATACCACAGGAAAAGTTTTTCGAGGGTGTCGCCCAATATCGCGCATCATACGTCATCGCCTACACGCTGCTCTAAACGGCGTCTACTTTTGGTTGCCGCATGACTCCGTCAATTCCGTCAACTGCGTGCTCGTTGTCAAACTGCTGTTGCCATGTTAGGGGCAGCAGTAACTGATTCACTAGCACGCGCATGCATGTGGGTAGCACAACGAAGAAGCAGCGCGGACAGTTGCTCACAGTCCAAACAAAAGTCTTAGGCTCTTGCTCAACCAATCACAGCATTAACATGCTGTGCGTCAGAGATACAGTGAAACCTCGTTAAACCGTAGTTGGCCGGAGCTCGAAAAAAGTACGTACTAAACGGTAGTACTGCTTAACTGAAATAGCGTCAGGTCGCTCACTTACCTGTAAAAAAAAGAAACCTTCAGGGAGTGAGATGAAAAAACAAAAAACGTGCAGTAATTTATTAACTTCGTGTGACAAAGTCTGTAATCTTCATTTGACGACGCGGCGGCCTAGAAGCAACGACAGCAGCCTCAAACTCACTTTTTACTGTGAGCCAGCTTTACATTACCGCCAGCCCCCCTTCTCGGCAAAATACCCGCATGACGCTGATGCAATGCGCAGCTTCGGCCACTGTCGGACCTGGATCACCCGTGTTGTCGCTTTCCATGACGTCCTCATCACTATCATTTGGCGACACTTCGACAACCGAGGCAACAATGGCTTCGTCGGACATGTCCGGAGATCTCTGCACATCGCTGACTGAAGTTTGAAGTTTGAAGTTTGAAGTTTATTTTGCTTCCATTACAGAAACAAGGAGCAGGAGCAAAAGGCTACAAAGGCCTGACAAAGGGCTCCCACTCCTGTTGGCACTCAGCATCAGCGGTACATATGGCAATACAAAATTCATCACAGAAATTCATATGAAATTAAAGATCATATAAGCAGTATACAGACCATCTGATGAATAATACATGATAAAAAGATAACATGTAGGTTAAATCAAATCAATCCGGATAAGCAGCCCGGAATACCAAAGAAATATGCACAATAAACAGTCGCAAAATACATAAGATTATTATTATACAGAATAAAATATACTGACTTCAGTAAAATATAACATAGGCAACGAGTGTGAATGGCATTATTCATTTGCATCTCTGCATCTCTGAAGTCGGGGAACGAAATCCCTTCCGCAATGCCCTGCCGCTCCAGCACTTCAGCTAGCAGAGTTTTGCAAACTTCGTCTACGATGTCTGAAGTCTGGTCGATGGTGTCACTGGCGTCATCTGCGTCGCCCGCACACACACTGAAGCCAGCACGCTTGAAGCGATTTTGAACTGTCGTTGCTTCAACTTGCCGCCACGAGTATTCGAGCAGGTGAATCGCGCCAATCAGGTCGATGGAGAATAATTTGCCACATTCAATGCCGAGAAGAAATCTGCGCAGCAGATTTTTCTTGTAGAGCTGTTTTACAGCTCGAATGATGCCTTGGTCCAAGGGCTGGGCAATCGCTGTTGTGTTTGGTGGCAGAAACGTCAACTTCACAGCCGTCAAGTTGTCCAGGGCGACGTGCGCCGAAGCGTTGTCTAAAATAATAACAACTCTTCTGTTCTTAGTCGCAAAACGACGATCGATGAGGCGCACGTACTCCTCAAAGAGTTTTGCCATCATCCATGCTTTGGTGTTGCTGCGATAGATGACCCCTGATGGCAACCGGGCGCCTTTGAAACATCTAGGCTTCGCCGACTTTCCAATCACGAGGAGCGGAGTTTTGTCGGTTCCAGTCATGTTTACGCAAAACGCCAATGATATTCTGTCTTTTGCGTGCTTGCCGTCGGTGCACGTCTCGTCTTTGAACGCGAGCGTTTTGTCTGGTAGCAGCTTAAAGAATAGCGCCGATTCATCCATATTAAAGATGTCATCAGGTGCGTAGTCTTCCAAGATGTTCTTCAGCTGACCATTTTGCCACTGCTCCGCACCATCCTTGTCAGCAGCAGCACCTTCTCCCAAAACAGTTCTCGTGGTAATGCCGTGCCTCGCCTTAAATCTGGCCAGCCAGCCAATGCTGCACACGTAGTTGTCATGGTTGAGCTGCGAGGCTAAAACAAGGGCCTTCTCCACGAAGGGGTCCGCTGATAGGCAGATTTTTAGACCGTGCAGCTTTTAGCCACTTCACCAGCGCCTCCTCTACATCCGAAAACGCCAAACCGCGTAGCCGGCACCTTTTCGCAGTTGCAGCAGCACTGCTGAGCAACTTTTCTCTGAAATTCCAAATTTCACACACCGTGGTTAACGGCAGGCCCTTTTCGCGTGCCAGCGCCGATTTTTTAGTGCCACTTTCAATGGCACGAATTATGTCCAATTTCTCCTCTATTTTCAGCACCCGATGCTTTTGTCCCAGTTTCGCCATGACGCAAGTGCGAAGCAGCACAAGCACACATACACAACACGTGAAAAATGACGCGAGAGCTGTACAGCATGGATCAACCAGAGAGCACCTATGCACAGCGCCAAAAGAACAAAGAAAGCAAAGCAAGCGCACACCGTGTTTGCGTGTGGCAGCTTGGGCTGGCATGACGATAGTTATAGCGCGAGAACAAAACGACGACACAGAGACAAGGAGGACACGAAAGACACGAGCACTCGTGTCTTTTGTGTCCTCCTTGTCTCTGTGTCGTCGTTTTGTTCTCGCGCTATAACTATCGTCCTGTATGCGTGTTTGTGCAAAGCGCCATCGCGTGGACAAAACCAGAAGCCTAGCCGGCCGAGTGCTTCTTGTTGCAGAGAAATCCAAGAGATGGCGCTCACCAACACAGCCGCCATCATCATCAACACAAACAAGCAAGGCGTGTTTCGATCTCTGGGGCTTGCTGTTCAGTCGGGACACCCAGTGGAGGACGACATGCCGCGGCGAGTGCGCAAGGAATATTGGAAAAAGTACTTATTAACCGATACATACGCGATAAGCTGGTACGGCTTATGCGGATACAAAATGCATTATGTTCAATGGCCGCCGAGTCGGGGATTTGACTTCACTACTTTTAAAACGAAACTACTGTTTACGCGGGTACGGTTTAACGAGGTTTCACTGTACATGTTTTCGGTGTCACGAGAAGGCCCGAAATGCTCGTAGAGGACGAGGATTTGTTTCTTGGAATTTGTGGCGCACCGACAGCTCGTAGCGCTGCCACGTGTAGAATTGCTGGTCACAAGGGTATTCAGCACACAACATGCGCGTTTACTTGAAATGTATGAAAAAATACCGGAGGTAGTTATAGGGACCCTTTAAGAATAAACTAATTCGCCCTTGGGATTACATATAGGGGCCCTGCAACATTTTCCCCAAGTAATCATTGAATCCCTTCATTAAAGTAGTTTTTTGTCGCACGAATCGACTGCCACAAAAATTTTGAGCATCCGTCAAGTACAAGCGTAATAACAGGGATTCGCTGCACACCTCAAGCACTTTCCTTTTTTGCCCCAGCGAGCGCGCTGAAAGCAACGCAGAGAGAAATGACAAGGGGGCAAAAACATAGATCCATTTGTCAGAGCACGCAACAACTTCGAGCACCTTGTCCTTTTATTTTTTCTTTGAACATGGAGTTTTCTTTCAAAGTAATCACAAGTGTGTGCGCGAGCCTGTGGCAGCCAGGGTAACTGTACAGCTCACGATGCTCAAATCAGCCATTCCTTGAGGACTCAGGGTCAATTACACCACTTGCCGACAGAAGAGTGAGTGATTTCTAGCCCACTTAGAGAATTAACTATGAATTCCAGGCTGCATGGTGCGCTACTGTGTTTGGCTCGCCTGGTCTCAGGAGCCTCGACTACCAATCAGCAGCATTTTCTGACCACACTCAAAAAAGTGTAGCAGAGTCCCTTTAGGAAGGTTGGACTTTAGCCTCAAAAAACCAGGCGAAATTGGCATGCTTAAAGATAATCTACCAACAGTTACACAATCACCTTAATATAGTCTAGTCTTACTTAAAGCAATCCACACCTTGAACCACCCACCAGAAACAGACTCGTACCCTTGCCTCCAACGGATTTCACACAGATGCTTTTCAAATTCTCTTCCTCCCCACTTGCGATCAGAGAATAAAGTAACCCAAACCTCCCCACTACGAGTAGCACATCCTTAGCCATTTTCTCTAAGCTAATAGAACACAAATTGATAGCTTGGCAATTTTAATATGTTGTTACTCCCGTGTTTTTTCATTCTCATTTAGGTTAAGTGCCTATATATGAGAACTAACCGACATTGATGCCAGAGAGTGAGTGTATAGGGAATGCTATTTGTTGTATTTATGATATAAATGTGAAGAAAGTAAAGTGGAGGAAAGGATAGCTTGCCACTGGCCATGACCAAACCAGAGACCTTCAGCCTTTTCTACTTTTGTTTGACTTGTACCAAATCTCTGTCTCACTTTATCCATCTGCTCTAATTCCTGCGGGATTTCTGTGGTAATTCCTGTGGGATTGACAGAATTTATAAATAAATAAATAATTCATATTTCTAACAAATACTATGACGAAGTGAGCTGATTAAATAAGGAGACACGTAGATTCAGGAAAATCAAAACTTTTCATTGTCAGACAGCTCCTACTGTGCAGAGTCTGGGGGCCTTAGCTCAGATATGATGCAAACAAAACAGCAACAAGAGTGGGCACTTCTTTAGACAACAGTACCTGGGTAGGCTAATGTTTACACACAATAGGAGGACGTCAGAACTGGGCAATTGCAAGCAAAGACTGCGTGCCACCATCGTCAAGCCCCAACCCAATCTCTTTCAGAGCTTGCGCTGCTCACCTTATCGCGATTTCTCCGCAGAACAAACACTCAGATGCAATCAGGTCGTCCAGTTCGTTCTGAAACACAAAGCAAAATAACCATGCAGTAAAGTTGATGTTCAGATCTCGGACAGCAAGAGGTAACCTTATAGTAGAAGGAAAAAAAAAAGTTAAAAACCTAATCATCGTATAGAATAAGCTTGCATGAGCTTATATAAACAAAATGGGGCACTTACCACAGAAAAATGATTGTGAGTTCAACAGGATTTGTTAACATTTGAGTCTTTAGCAAAAAAGACGCTTTCAATTCAGACAGTGAAGGACCTCTCCACTACAATGGAGGTCATGCCTGCAGTCAACGAAAGGCAGTTTCAAAGCACAGGTCGAGCACCTCTTCAGCGCTAGTTACTCGAACGCCCCGATTTATGCTGTTGCGAAAAAGATTTCGAAGCAAATCAAAAATCAAGGGCGATATCAGCCTCAAAATGTGTCAGTCCCTAAGAACCGTGTTGCAGTCCCTTATCTGCACAAGGTTTCGGACAGGCTGAAGAAGATCGGGAAATGCACTGATATCACTGTTGTATTTTCCGCCCTGAAGAAGCTATCAAAGCTTTGTAAGTTGGTGAATCATCCACCCGCAAATAGAGTAATATGCTCTGTGAAACACAGAACACGCTTTGTACCTTGTGTTATTGGTGTTGTATATCTTATTCCGCTATCCTGCGGTAAGATATACTACATGGGAAAACCAGAAAGTGCTTGAACGACTGTTTACGAGAGCACAGTAATAATGTGCACAATGCAGTTCAAGGACACCTTGGAATCCACTGCCGAGACTGCGACTGCGTGCCCCTCTTTTTAGCGTTTGTGAGGTAATGGGCAAGCACCACTCGCAGGCCACGCATGAGATAAGTGAAGCCTATCACATAAGTTTGACAATACATGTGCAAGTTCCCCATCAGTTGCGCTGTTGCAAAAAGAGATTGCACATCGCAACAATTTTTAAGCTGTGTATTTGTTTCCAGCTCAATCAGAAGAGGCAAGAGTTTCACTGACATTGTACCGCAGTGGTTGTTCCTGCACCTTTCTACGCATGCCCATTCTCGTCTTTTTTTTGCCTATATATATACACCACTTTAAATCATTGTTGAAAGTCGATGCTCTTTTCTACACTAGTTTTTTCGCTTCCGTAATTACGCTGCAACTACTTCTAGGTTGCGCTGTTCGTCCATTCAGTTATGCCCCAAATTACAACCCGGGCTATAAGCGCGTCCGAGCTATATGCGGGCTTTTAAGATAAATGGTGATCATTGTGGGTCAGAATGACTCCCCAGACTATGTGACCTGTTTCTAGAGTGTTGTTGCAGGTCAAAATGACTCCCCAGAGGGTGTCACGGACGGCCATTTTTGGCGACACCGCGTCACGGCAATTAACGGGCGCCGTACTCCCCCACTGACCGTGAGAACGGCGAGCGCATGAAAGGGAGCCGAGAAGTGCAGAATGGGGTGCTCTTCTTAGAACGTCGCCGCCGACGGTTGATCCTTTTGTAACTGCGGCGGCGTCTGCAAGGTCGTAGAAGGCCGCGGTATACCCCGAACAAGCATTAGACTACGAGACGCACCGGCTGAGAGCCAAACGGTTGACCGTTCCCAAGGGGAAAAGCGTGGGAAACGCTCTGGTGGCCAAGCCGTATGACAACAACCCGACAGGTTGTCACTCTCGCTAGTTGAGGGCCCTCTCCCAATTAAAAAGGGGTGGGGTCAAAATATTTTTGGGGCGGAGTTTCCATCAATTAAACGCGCATGATTGGACCCATGTAGAGGTCTCTTGTCCCCGAGGAAGAGAGAGAGGAGACACGAGGGGGATTTAAGCGCAGGATTTTGCCCTGCTAGGCAGACTAGTCGCTGACCAACATGGTGTAGAAACAGATCAACAAGCATCTCTTCTAGAAGTTTTTAGTGTGGCTCTGTATCGGCTGGCCACCTAAACTTAGCCGTTCGTCTAGTTGTGACGCGATATTAACGTCTGCAACGTAGACATCGGGACTTTGCCTCGAGTTAGCTCAACCTGCTCGAAGTCACCTGCAAGCACTAGCCTCCCGGAGCCACCAGCGTTGCAACACCGCTGACATCGCAGTCGTGCCAGAACTCTCTTCGACTTCTCGCATCCGATCGTCGGGGACGCAACGCGGCCGGTCATCACACGTATGCATGCTTCACCTGTTTATATCTTCGAACTTTCTACACCGTAGTTCTATTGTTGTTAGTTTGTGTAGCTTGTAGTAGTTCTCTCGCGTAAGCCGATTTATTGTTTTTATATGTTTTTTTTAGTTGTATCAAGTGTTGATGTATTTTGTTAGTTGTATTGAAGTGTTGTATTAGATCCCGTGTGCTGCAATATCACTAGAGTAAAGTTTGTTTTGTTTTCTCACGTCTCTGATCTCTTCACTGTCTCTGCTTGCGTACGGAACGAACCAACCTGCTGTCATTCTCGTCGCCGACTTCGCGCTGGCGACGCTAGAGTGACAGCTTGTAACAAAACTGGCGTCCGCGAGACAGGACGTTCCGTACAAGAGTAAGAATGTGAGGGGTGAACGAGAACCGTGTGAACAGCATGGTGATAGAGCCGCACGGTTGAAGCGGCTGCATCCTGCATATGATTGCGCTGTTTTTATAGTGGCATTATAGTGACAGTTGCAGTATAGAGTGTATGGATTTTGATAAGTGGATTGCGCACGGTAAACAGTTAGGCCTCGAGGGCGCCGAACTGAGACAATGGGTTAAGGAGAAGCAGGAACAGGCGCAGGCGTTAGCCAGAGAAAAGCGGGCACTGGCCCGGGAAGAAAGGGCGAAAGAACGAGAAGCGGCAAGGGAAGCCGGAGAACGGGAAGTGCAGTTACTGCAATTCAAGATTCGCCTCAGTGAGGGTAGCAGGGTGAGCCGATCCAGCAGTGAGCACGGCGATGCCGGCGAGGAACTGTCATTTGAGCGAGACACATGGTGTCAAGGGCTACTCACGGTTCTGCCTTGCGAGGCAATGAAGCTGTTGCGCGACTCAGTCAGCAGAACGCGAACAACTACGAGGTAGTTAAGGCAGAGATGTTCCGGACGTTCGGAACTTCGGTCTGGACAAAAGAAGAGCAGCTCAGACAAGAGTCTGAAAGAAAGCGCGAAACAGAAAGACAACAGTCTGAAAGCGAGGCGCGTCGGAAAGCGCTGGACATTAAAGTGTGGCAGGAAGCGCTAGAACCAGAGATCGCGCCAGAAAAGGGCCCGCGTATTCTAGAATGCATCAAGGTAGAGTATGCCGAGAACGAGGCCTTGGCCGGTCTGGAGGTAGAGACGATGTCGAAAGACGCTCCTTGCGTGGATGAGGAGAGTGCCAGCAGCCCTAATGGGCCCAGTAAGATGCTGGAAACCTCCTTCGTGCCTCAAGAGTACGTTTCGACATCATCAAATGTAGGCATGATTAGCACAGTGGCGAATCAGAGCGAGGACGCGACGCTTCAGGAGTGCAGCGATGCCGTCGGAGAGCGCCCAGTTAATGGCTTCATCAGTGTTGACAAAGCTAATTTGGCCCGACAGTCCGTCGTGACGCAGAGTTCAAAAAGCGTTATCGGGAGGGAAGACCTAGCACCAGCTCCAACGAACTTCCCAACTTTTGAGGTCCCGAAGCGACATGATGATGACATCGAGGGAAAGGAGGTACGCAAACATCGCCGAAAAAGAAAGAAGAGGAAGCGTACCACACTGCGTGAGCCTAGGGCTGGTCCCACTCCGTCCCGACAGAGACGAAAGGCTAGGTTGTTAATCCGTTTCAAGAAACGTCAATGGTGGCGTTCATGGAGACACAAGCGGCGAGCCAGGTGTAGAGGGGGAAAGGGAGGTGCGTCACCCGAACGAAACGCGCGGTTCATTTCGACGACTTCGGGAAAGCGGCCTTGCCCGAAGGTTCAAAGTCGAAAAGGCACAACGGATAAGTACTGCGTGGGGGCGACCACAAAGACACTATTACCCAGGCTTCCCCCCTGTTTCTGGCGTCCCTTGCACATTCCTGAGGGGAGCCGGATGAAATGCAGAATGAGGCGTGACAGCAGGACACAGCCTGGCGTTCGTGCTTTTTGTAACCTCTGGCGTGCTCGAAAGCCGCCGGGAACGCGACCCCATCGTGTGCGATTCAAGCGAATCTAATTGAGAAAGTGGGGCACGGTTTTAGCATAAACCAGTGCAAGTGTCGTTGGTTTTCTTTGAAGACGATTGATCAAGTGATCATATAAGCAAAACAGTAAACCTTTTCTCAGGTTGAGCGAACGAAGAGTATTTTGGCCACAGCGTAGGCCAAAGTTTCAGGAAAGCTGGATAGCTTAGTGTTTCAGTAGTAGACATATATTTGGTGGCCGTAAACAAAGACAGACCACCAGCCTTTGAGTTATATCCAACAGGCGAAACAGCTGAACGCTCGAGTACTTCGATGGAGTTTACTACTCCAAGAGTACCAGTTCACCATTACGCATATTAAGGGTAGCGAAAACGTGGGAGCCGATTACTTGAGCCGGATATAGTTCTTGAGGTCTATGAGCATGTTATTTTTTTTCCTTTCGTCGGTTGTTTTCTGTTTGTATGTGCGTATTTCATTATATAAGAAGTGTATTTTGAGTTATTTTGTTTTTGCTTGGTGCATTGGTTGTTTTTACTTGCTGTAATGCACATTGAAGGATTGCACTACAGTACAGGAGCGCACCTGTTCCGTTTTGCTTCGTAGTATACATTCAAGCAGTGTATTCTGTATTGATGGCTGCCGTACACGGCTATTTCCTCTTCTTATTTGTATGGCGCATTGATATTGTTGCATGTAACTGAAGCTGGTACTCTAACAATTGTTTGCTTTTCCTTTTGTTGTTACTTTGATGCACTCTGCCTATTTATGTTGTGTATGAGAGGGACAGTCCTCATGTCTCCCTTGTTGTTGGTGTTTTGTTCCTTGTTGTCGAAAAATTCCCCTCCGTGTGAACGAATGTTATGAGTAACATTCTGAAAGTGGGGGGCAATGTCACGGACGGCCATTTTTGGCGACACCGCGTCACGACAATTAACAGGCGCCGTACTCCCCCACTGACCGTGAGAACGGCGAGCGCATGAAAGGGAGCCGAGAAGTGCAGAATGGGGTGCTCTTCTTAGAACGTCGCCGCCGACGGTTGATCCTTTTGTAACTGCGGCGGCGTCTGCAAGGTCGTAGAAGGCCGCGGTATACCCCGAACAAGGATTAGACTACGAGACGCACCGGCTGAGAGCCAAACGGTTGACCGTTCCCACGGAGAAAAGCATGGGAAACGCTCTGGTGGCCAAGCCGTATGACAACAACCCGACAGGTTGTCACTCTCGCTAGTTGAGGGCCCTCTCCCAATTAAAAAGGGGTGGGGTCAAAATATTTTTGGGGTGGAGTTTCCATCAATTAAACGCGCATGATTGGGCCCATGTAGAGGTCTCTTGTCCCCGAGAAAGAGAGCGAGGAGACACGAGGGAAATTTAAGCGCAGGATTTTGCCCTGCTAGGCAGACTAGTCGCTGACCAACATGGTGTAGAAACAGATCAACAAGCATCTCTTCTAGAAGTTTTTAGTGTGGCTCTGTATCGGCTGGCCACCTAAACTTAGCCGTTCGTCTAGTTGTGACGCGATATTAACGTCTGCAACGTAGACATCGGGACTTCGCCTCGAGTTAGCTCAACCTGCTCGAAGTCACCTGCAAGCACTAGCCTCCCGGAGCCACCAGCGTTGCAACACCGCTGACATCGCAGTCGTGCCAGAACTCTCTTCGACTTCTCGCATCCGATCGTCGGGGACGCAACGCGGCCGGTCATCACACGTATGCATGCTTCACCTGTTTATATCTTCGAACTTTCTACTCCGTAGTTCTATTGTTGTTAGTTTGTGTAGCTTGTAATAGTTCTCTCGCCTAAGCTGATTTACTGTTTTTATATGTTTTTTTTAGTTGTATCAAGTGTTGATGTATTTTGTTAGTTGTATTGAAGTGTTGTATTAGATCCCGTGTGCTGCAATATCACTAGAGTAAAGTTTGTTTTGTTTTCTCACGTCTCTGATCTCTTCACTGTCTCTGCTTGCGTACGGAACGAACCAACCTGCTGTCATTCCCGTCGCCGACTTCGCGCTGGCGACGCTAGAGTGGCAGCTTGTAACAGAGGGCGTGAGCTGTTTCTAGAATGCAGAGGCGAGGGAACTCACCATGAGCTTCTCCCGCGTTGTCAACGATGGCAAGCCCGCCGCGGAGGACAAGGAGGCGCTGTCGTCGCGACCGCTGAGCATCGCCAGCTGCCTGTGGATGTCCTCGATGCGGCTTGCCTTCGTTGGGAGAGAGTGCTGCTGAACCTGTCCGGCATTCGAAGAGTGACAAGGAAAGAGTGAGCATGTGAAAGCGCAAGGACAATTTTTGAGACCACACTGCGCTTCAGTAATTAAACGTCTTTCGAGAGCGCTTACTCAAACCTCGATAAAACAAACCCAGGTATAAGGAGATATCGGTTATGACGAAGTAAACGAAAAATAGTCTTGCAAAATATATAATCTTAGGAATATTATACCTTTATAACAAATTTTCAAATATAACAAACTTATTTTTCGGATAATATAACATTTGTTATAAAGAGGTTTGAGTGTACCAGTTGCAGCAGTGCTACTGAAATTTTAGCTTGACAGAGACTAACAGTTCAACATACAATAACTTTTGCTCAATTGGTTTAGAGCAATCATTCTTATTTTTCTTGCTAACAGCTTTAATCCACATCATTCTGATATACAAATAATGATAATAATACTAATACACCTGAACCGTTTTATAAGAGGAATGCTCTGGGAGCAATTTTTGTCATTGGAATGAGATGTCTCTTATAAGCAGGATACTTCGTATGCATTTTCTTATTAACTCGTATTTTACTACAGGCGCACTTGTGTCTCTTATGTCCATCTGTCTCTTAGTATCAGTCTCTCTTATAAGGAAGTTAGGCTGTAATAATGCCTGGGGTTTTATGTGCCAAACCCGCAATATGATTATGAGTGATGCCGCAGAGGAGGACTTCGAAAATTTCAACCTTACGGTGTTCTTTAACGTTAACTGACATCACACAGTACACGGGCCTCTGCGATTTCGGCTCCGTCGAAAATGAGACTGCCGTGGCCGGGATCAAACCTGAGACCTTCGGGTAAGTAGCCGAGCCCTGTAACCACCACACCACAGCGGTACACAATCCTGATATACCCCGGCTGCGGCGGCTGCATTTCCGATGGAGGCGGAAATGTTGTAGGCCCGTGTGCTCAGATTTGGGTGCACGTTAAAGAACCCCTGGTGGTCGAAATTTCCGGAGCCCTCCACTACGGCGTCTCTCATAATCATAAGGTGGTTTTGGGACGTTAAACCCCACATATCAATCAATCATCAACCATCCTGATATGTTGATTTGATTCTTCTGTCTCTCAGTTTAGGCTAACTCTGGTTCGCATTAAGTGTAAGAAATGTTTGAAATATCAAAATCTATGTATAATAAAAATCTAGCTTCATAGTGTTTCAAATTCACACACTAGCACTCAAACCTCAATAAAACCCAGATATAACGAAATATCGGTTATAACGAAGCAAATGAAAAATAGCCTTGCAATCAGTAAACTGTTACGAATACTATACCTTTATAATGAGTTTTGGAATATAACAAACTTATTTTTTGTGTAATATGCAACTTTGTTATAATGAGGTTTGAGTATACGTAAACTGATGAAGTTTCACCTCGATCAATAAAGAATTGAAAGAAGTTACTTTTAAGAAGTTCCCCTTAAAAATAAGCTGATAATAAAAAGAAGAGAAAGATAAAAAGGGTGCAGCAGGTCTCTCACTCACCTCCGATGAAAGGCAGTCGCCATGGAACATGTGCCCACACGGGAACAAGTAGAACGCCTGGTTCATTACGGCGTACTCGCACAGAGCACACTTTGCGTCCGACTGAGCCACGGCGTACCTGTAACACCGAGGTGCTTTCGCTTACTCTCGTTGCAAGGCCCTAAGAGTACTCTGCAATTACTCTTCTAGAAACGTGTTTCGATTACACTACAATAACTCTCTTTGCACAGCATTACACGACCAATGTAATTACTCTCCTTGTGGGTTATTACAGTTGCTAAAGTCCCTTTAAAACCCTTTACAAGAGACTTGGGTATATAGGGCACCAGTTTACCTGCATAAAGAAAACTGCTAGGCCTGTACGGAATGCGCAGCACAGTCACAGCGAAAGCTAGAAGAGTGACCTTTCCAGAGCCTTTTCTAAACACTCTTTGGGTAACTTCTACAAAACACTTGCAGGGTACCCACTATGCCATTAACCATCATAATTTTTGTGTAGTAGGGAGGCATTCACAGTGCCATCCTTCAACATTCTTTGGAGAAGCATGGTACCCGCTACACACTGAGGAGGAGGAGGAATAAACTTTATTATAAGAAACCAGCAGGTTTAGGTGGCCAGGCCTAGGCCTCCCATGAGGGAACGTCAAGGGCTTGCCTCGACGCCGCCTCACTGGCGTGCTTGGTCGCTCAGGCTTGGTCGTCAAGAGCAGGGCTCTGCAGAGACTCATGGAGTTTCAACCAAAGAGTCGTGGCATTAGTGTGTCTGTACTGTGCCGGGCACTCCCACAGCATGTGCGCAAGCATAGCCGGGTGAGTGCCGCAGCCCCGACAGTGGGAGGCCTTGCCAATCGCGCTGGAGCTACTGGAGACGAGACGGACACCAGGGACAACTCGACTACCTACAATGGTTTGGTTAAGAACTTTTACCTCAGACACTGATCCTTTCCCCCACCTCACCCCAAGCTCAACCGGGCAGAGGCCACCACTTTGCGTCTACTTCAAACAAACATGTATCCCCCACCAACCCTCTTTCACCTCATATTCCCGGACGTGCACACTAGTGAGGAATTTTGTACATTTTCATGCTGTAGCTGACGATGTTGAAGAATTATCCCTGAGGCTTTTACAATAGGTTTTAGCATTCAACGACCCACCCATAATGCAATTTACACTGTATGATGCTTAGTTGCTTCTTTGTTGTTCTAAAGCGCTTTATAACTCATATTAATGTGATTCCCTTCCCGATAAGAAGCCTGTCTAGGGCCAGTTTACAATGCAGTTTCAAGCACTGGCATGGCTCAGTGATAGAATACTGCGCTGGCATGCAGGTGACTTGGATTCGAATCACATTGTGTCCTAGGTGTTTTTATTTACTTGATTTTTTGTTTTCGTGTGATAATGGTTACAGACAACGGTGCTGGTGGTGAACAACTACGTCACCAAAAACAACCCTTGTTGTAACCTTATAACAGCTTTCGCTGTAAAATATGGGCTGATAAGAAAATGCATACATGGTTCCCTGATTATCAGAGACACATCGTACAAAGGACAAGAATTGCTCGACAATGGATGTCTCTTATGAAGGAGTTGAACTGTATGGTACTACTTTCTTTGTAATGCATTGTCATTACTGTTCATGTGCAACATTACAAGTACAGTAATATTACTCTCCTTTCAATGCACAGCATTAACGCTACAATCACTCCCCCTGCAATGCACTGCTGAAATTTTCAGAAATAAGACTTCAGAACTGATAGCTTCTTTACACTTTACGGTAGCACTATCAGGATGCAGCGTCAAGTGAATGGCGTGTACAAAAAAGAGAGCCGAGAAATTTTAAAAATGAAAAAAAAAAAAAAAGGCTGGCTCTCCCAGAATGGAGACTAGATGTAAGCACGAAATGACTACCAGCCAAAAATACTGGCTGGATGCGATACTAGTCACAATCTCGAGGGTCATGCTGTTGGGTGTGCAGCTTGGAGCGTGGTGCCACATCTCTTCGAAGAGGCGAGAAATCCGCGCGGATGCATGTCACGTTGTCATGTCGTTTAAAATACAATAGGCATGGCAGTGGCATATAAAAGAGCAAAATTATAATGCTCTGTCTTTGCCTTTGAAATGCCACTATAGTAACTTGCAAACAATAGATCACCGCACCAGAAGTTGCACCCTCAACAATAGTGTTAACAAGCTCAACAAAGAATGCTAAAGCAACAAGTTTCGAAATCAGTTAGGGCTGTAACTAGCAAACGTAAAGTGGCCCTGTGCAATGGTTAAAGGCCAGAGGCCTTTTTGTTTTTATCTGGTTTTTTTTTTGTGTTTTTTTTATCGGTGCAAGAGCAAGAACATCCGGGCTGGTTGCCCGGATGTTCTCGCAACAGTACACAGATCTCTCGTTCAAGTGCCCAGACAATGACAACGGTGTTTAGCTTAAGATTACTAGACGGCCGCCAACAACGGCAGCTAAAAGCATTTCAAGGCTAACCATTTTTCAAACTTCGCACGAACTACTACTGCTCGCTCAGAGTTCCCTATAACAACTTCGTGGGAAGAGCTCACAGGCCAGACAAAAGTCGGCAAACGGCAGAATGGCTAGCAGAAGGCACCGCGACGCACCTGTTGCGGAACACCTGTATCTCGGCGCGTATCTCCTTGGCGCTTCGGGTGGCCTCCTCCATCTCGGCCTTGAGTCCCTCGATGTGGTTGTTGTACTCCTCGAGTGAGGTGCAGATGGCTTCCTTGAAGTGGTCGATGCGCACAAACTCGTCGAAGAAGGGCAGGATGTCCTCGATCTTGATGAGGTCGCACTCCTGCAGGAACTCCATGGCGCGCTTGATGTCCTTCTGCTCCGTCACCACGTGCTGGGCTGTGCGAAAGTTTTAATTCGCAGGAATTAGTGCCATTTTAGGTGCCAGTTTGTGGTATCCTTTTGCAACACCCAGTACGATCGACTGCGTGTACACACATGGTATTAACACAATTTAATGCCAGAGTTCTGAAGTACAAACAAAGTGCAAGTGTTCAAATAAATCATGGTATACTTAACAGCATAATTTAAATGCCTTGTGCCACCTCTCCGACTCTGACCTTGAAGAGCAGAAATGCTTCAAGGCCTCTTGAAACATCCGAAATGCTTCGGTTTTATTCTTTCCAAGCTTCACCCAAATGTGATAGCGTATTGTTGTTGATGTGAACGGGCTCCACGACGCCGTGTTACACAGTAAATAGAACTTTGCATGTGGAGGCATGCCTTTCAGCTCGCACCACTCGGAGTAAACTGGCGACCAGCTACATTAGAAAAGGAGCTCCCCGCCACATTGCCTCAGCAGATTTGCAATGTTGCACGAATAGCTGCGTCACAACATAATCATGAGCGTTACTTTTATAACAAACAATGTGTGCGTGTGTACTCACAAACACAGATTTGTACAACAACGTAACATCTCGCAGAGAGTGTCCATATATGGCAATAAAAAAAATAAAACTAAATACCCTGGGTCTCCTGTGTTTTTAGTGTCTCCAAAACCAAGACTGCAATTGGGAGCTAAAATAATATATCCAGGTATGTGCGGTTTAACGTCCCAAAACCACCATATGATTATAAGAGACGCCGTAGTGGAGGGCTCCAAAATTTTGACCACCTGGGGTTCTTTAACGTGCACCCAAATCTGAGCACACGGGCCTACAACATTTCCGCCTCCATCGGAAATAAAATAATATATCCAAATAACTAACCATTGCAAATGAGATTTCTAGTACTAATAAGTGTGTCATTAGGTATACCTGCTTACTGCAACACACAAGAAAGCAATTGAAGTTGATGATATCTGATATTTTAAGGTGCAAGAGCAAGCAATACTGTTAGTCACAAACAAGTGCCAGAAAATATTAAGAGATCGACAAGACAAAACAAGTTCTGTATACCTCTTCTCTGTAAGACAAAAAGTTTCACGAAACCCCACAAAGCAGAGAAAACTTCAGGAAAAGAAAGAAAATACACATGTATCAACATGATACCACTAAGTACAACATGATACCACTAAGAGTATAATGTGGATTTCTCGAACTAAGAATCGTCATTGGTGCAAGATAATTTGTGACAAACTAGGACAAGTCTTGGTCAAGTAAGCCTTTTTTGAGAAGCACTGTAGACACACAGGCTCACCAATCTTGAGCCAGAGTTTCTTGCGCAGCTCCTCGTTGTTCTCCGGCTTGTCCGCATTCAGCTTGGCAAGGTCGATGTCCACCTGCAGAGTGAATGCCACTGGTGTTAGCAGAAAACAGTTCGCTAATGCAGTAAAACACCTTTGTAAGAGGCAAGCACTGGGCAGCAATTCTTGTCTATTATGCGAAATGTCTCTTACAAGCAGGAGACTTTGTATGCATTTCCCTATCCCCCGTATTTTACTGCAAGCACACTAATGTCTCTCATAGCCATTTGTCTCTTATATCAGTGTCCCTTATAAAGGGGTTCAACTATACACTCAAATCTCACTATAATAATGTTGCATCTTACACAAAAATAACTTTGTTATAACCCAAAATTCGTTACAAAGGTGTATTCCTAACACTATATTTATTGCAAGACTATTAATTTACTATACACTCAAACCTCATTAATTCAACATGCCTAATTTGAACTTCCAGTTAATTCGAACTCGCGCTGAGGTCCCGTCAAAGCTATGTGTATTCCAATGGGCGAAAACGCACTGTAATTTGAACGTGCAAGCACTTGCGACGGTTAATTCGAACATACCGCGCTCCGAAAATGCTCTCAGTACCCCGCCCAACCCTGTAGCTACACCTCCAACATCTCAACGCTGCGCGCGAAGGAAAAGAAAAGGGTGCGGTGGAATGTTGGCTCTCTCTCAAATGCCGACCTGCAACGCGCCTGTGCCACGCTTCTCCCTCTTCTGTCTCTGCCACGTAAAGACCCATCTCTTTTTAATGCCGTGCGCGAAGAGAGAGAGAGGGGAAAAAAAGCTGTTCCAAAGTTTTGGCTCTCTCAAGCGCCTGTGCCATGCTTTCCCATTTCCCATCCCTGCCACGTAGACCCTTCTCCTTTCAATGACACACACGAAGAGAGAGAGAGAGAGGAAAAAAAGCTGCTATGGAGTGTTGGTTCTCTCTCAAATGCCTATCTGCTTGTTTACGCGTAGAGATGCTCCTCCTTTCTCATCACGTGCTGGCTATGCTGCAGCCTGGGCGCAGAGGGTAGTAGCGAAGACGCAATCGTTGGTGTCGTCTTTAGAAAGTGTTGGCTCTGGACATTGCTGCGCACAACTTCTCTTGCCAGGAGAATGCTGAAGCCGAAGTAGAAGTGCTTTGCAAGGTGCGCGCAGAATCGATCAACTCACTGCAAGACAAACGTGTGCAGACACGCATCACCGATTGCTCAAATTAATGACGGATGTCCTGTAATTTGTGAATAAATGCAAGTCTTCTGAAACTTCCCCCTCGTGTGTTAGCTCAATTCACATGCACCACTGCATGGTGAGCCCTCTGTTCATTTAGCTTTCATTAATTTGAACCTCTTTTAATTCGAACAAATTTTCGGGCCCCTTCGAGTTCGAATTATCGAGATTCCACTGTATTATAACTGTCATTACTTTATATCTGTGTTTGTTAAATGAAGGTTTCTAACACCAACATCAAATCTATCGAATACACTGAATGCACGAACATCACTCAATGCAGCTCCTCCGAAATAAAACCAGTTAAAGTGGGACCTCTCGCACAGCCTTCTGATAGTATTCAAGATATTATTAGTACGCTGCCAGCTTGCAAAAGAACCATATGCCATGTGACGCCAGCTGGCATAAAAAAAAAAGTTGTAACACTCACTGTCATGGCCATTGGTGGCCATGACCAAAACTCCTAGGTCTACACACACAGAAATACCCAATACGGCGAACAGGATGATGACTGCCACTGTAGCTCATTTCGGTGAGCATTGAACGCATTATCTAAAGGTTGTAGATCCGGCACCTAGCAGCGCAAGTTGTCTTTTAGTCCACTTTGAATTCTTTACATTTATGCCATAGCTGGCACATTATAGTTAAGCTACAAACAGTGCCCCTTCACTAATCTTGGCATCACTGTCAGTTGGTGTCATTAGGTTGCACCTAATGAAGAAACTGAGCCTTTGATCAATGCCCCTCACTTCGTTCAGTTATGTGAATGTATAAAAGAGAAGAGATAAAATATGAAAATATTCTGAAACGAGTTTGATGTGGGTAAACTAGGCTCGTGCGATTATTTGAACATTTTGAATGTATGAACAAATATTACAGCGTTCAAATTCGCTTCGATTCGAACGTAAATTATTGAAAATTTCCAAGTATTAGAAATGAACTAAATCTAAAGAATCCTGGTTCGATTCCGGGTTTCGGCACCAAAACTGATGTGGCAAAACCACGCTGCGGCGTTTGAAGGCACCAAATGAAAGAGAACATCAAGAAAATAGAACACCCTCTTTTCCCATGGATGCTCGGATTCGCGTCTCTTTCATTTGGTGCCTTTAGACGCTGAAGCGTGGTTTTCCCACATCAATTTAGGTGTATGTATCTGTATGTAATCCTTCCCATCCCCCTTGTCCTCACAAAGGTGGTTTCAGTGCAGTGGAGAAGTAATGTACAGTGAATATGCCTATCAAGGCAAACTCTACTGCCACAAAGACCCACTTGAAAGTTAAATGAACACCATATCTTCACATCAATTAGTAATTTTGTTAAATTTAAAAGCAGGTTTATGTACTGTTTGTAAGCATGTTATATACTCCAAGTATAGTAAACTTTAAAATGTACATGTTTTACAGGTTATCACTAGCATTCTATCAAAACTCCAATCTTCCCATTATTCAAAGTTGACTCCACTTCCACTGAACCAAACAGAATGACATTTTCACAAGACCTGTTTCAATTAAAAAAAAAACAGTGTGCAGGGTAGTTATGTCACGACAAAGTGGCTTATTTTTTTTTAACTTGTGGTATTGTCACATCGCCGTGACGTTGACAAATGCAGGGACAGCGTATCTGGAATAATAGCTGTTATTTAGCCGAACTTGTGGCCGGGAAACAGAAACTCTAACTACAGCAAACAACGTGCGCCGTACTATAGGCAAACAGAGCATCGACCGTCAATAATTTGACAAAATCTGACAAACGGTGATGCGCATCGGCATTTATACATGTGCCATCGAATATTCCGACGCTATCGCTAGTGGCGACGTAAGCTCCAGAAGAATCTGTAATGTTTGCGTTGTGCGCATCGTATCGGAAGGTTTTACTTTACGATTATGTTCATGGTTCTTCGTCGAATGGCGCGGTTGCGTAAGGCAGCACTTACACGTGTAATGAGGCAATAATAAAACTTGAGAAAGGAGTGTGCAATATATACTATTTGAATTCAATTCGAAAACATTCGATTAAATCACTACACTCTGACCGCAATAAATAAACACGGATATAACTAAATATCCGTTATAACAAAGTAAATTAAAAATAGTCTTGCAATAGATACAGCGTTAGGAATAACCTTTATAACAAATTTCTAGATAAAACGCACTTATTTTCTTGCATGATTCAACCTTCTTATAATGTGGCTTGAGTGTACTTGCTTTGAATTCGCTTCAAAACTTAAGTTTACTATTCACGCAAGCCTAGTGTAAACCTTATGAAAAACTTCCAAGAAATTGGTTGATGTCAACTTTTAACGAGCCACTGCAACAGGTGTCCAACGTCAAGGATTCCTAACCTCGAGTGCCAGGTCCACGGCTTCCTCGTAGAGCTCCATGGTGGAATAGATGTGGACGCAGGCTCTCGTCAGGCGCAGCTCGGAGCAGACACGCAGGGCGTACTTCAGATCGTAGGGCACAGTGGTCTTGTCCTTGGAGAAACAGGGGTGTGCAATACGAGGTCAGGCAAAAGTGAGGTTTCACATAGTAGGGCTACCTATGGTCATATACAGCTCAAGAAGTCTGGAGATGCCCAACCCAAATGGCCAAACTGTGGAAGCGGATTGCCTCCACGATTAAAAAAAATACACTCAAACTTCATTATATTACATACATAAAAATAGGTTCATTATACAGTCGAGCCCACATTTAACAGCCCCACTTAAAACGAACCTTCACTTAAAACGAACAATATCCGCACTTGACCGTGAAAATATGCACTGATTACAATATACACGTGACATTGTATACATTGAAATATACACGTGACCGTGAAAATATACATTGGTTCAATGGCACGAAATCACACTTACAACAAACGTCTCCGAGCGCCGCTGATCGGTCAGCCGTCTGCCGACTTCCCGGTAAACCAATTTCGACCACCGATCAGGCATCCACGAGGTGCCCACACATTCTTATTGTTAAACGCAGATTCTGCCTCCGCGACCCTCTAGTTGCCGCTCTCCCCAACCTATGGAGAAAGGAAAGTTGTTTCCTTCCTCCACGCCCGGACTGCTTTTTATTATGCACCCCTCCGTCCTTTGTCCCCCTGCTGCTACTCTGAGCGCCCCGCATCGCCAGAAGAGGCCCACGTTTTCACAATGCCACCGATCTTTCAAAGACCGGCCGGCCATCTACCCTGTTTTTAATCACTGGTACTGTCGTTGGCGTCGCCAGCCTGGAGTGACCAGACCATTTGCCATCATCGTCGGTCACCGACTGTATCCGATAGTCTGCGTCTAGTGCATGCGCGTATGCTACCCCACCGACTCCGATAATTTGTGATTCGTTTCGTGTTTAGGACTTGTTCTCGCTCACTTCGCACTCGGCTCAGCATGCCTTCCGCGCGCATGCAGGAGCGCGAAAACGACTGTTAACTTGCGCGGAACAAATCACAAAATATCAAAGTTCGCGAGGCCACGCAAGCCCGCCTGCGCAACAGAACAATTTTTTTACCACAGCCACGGATTCTTTGAACAACGCCGTGCGCACTGATCCAGGTGGCCATGCTTTGACTTCTGCGCGCGCAGGCACTCTTTCCAAGTTTTTCTACGTGCGAGTTTCGCAGACCTTTCAAGCAAGCTACCCAACCTGCCTCCTTCCCGTGTGTTTTGGTTTTCAAAGTCGCTTTCCCGCCGCATCCTCCCCTCTCTTTACCGCAACTCCTTGCCCTTCTCTCGCAAGTCTGCTCTCCTCTCTTGATCACAACCCCTTCGCCCCTCTCCTCAGCTCCGCGATGCCCACCACGCTGGCTCAAATTAGTTTCGTTTTCCGACTGAAAAACGGGCCCTGAGCTGTTCCACGCATTCTGGCATGTGTGTTGCGTGTGCACGTTTTGCTCGCTCTTGGTGTGCGTGTGTGGTCATGATGGCCGACAAGAAGACTAGCATGCTTTTTCCTACTGCTCAACAAAACGTCGAAAGTGTGACTGCTTGGCTTGATCGTAATCCGCCCATTAGGTGCCGCGTTGCGGAGCGCATGCTCATAGCTGTTGACCCCCTGGCAGCCAACTTGCCGCTTCGGGCGTCCCAGTATTCAGCTGTGGAGATCGTGAATATTTCGTGGGCGGCGGTGACGACTACATGCGCGTGAAACTGCTTTCGTGAGATGGATTTCGTAGACGTCGGGCCCAATGCCGAGCCTGAAGCTTCCGAAGTGATTCAGCGATTTGTGGCAGCGCGTCGTCAGCTCCAACCTGGGAGAGCGGGTGGGACATCTGTTGCGATGGTTTAATTACGGCTGATGATTAATTACGGAATCGTGCATAGATTGGGGCATTGTGAATGAAGTACGTGACGAAAACAATTTGGAGGAATTGGATTGCGAGAACGACGAAACTTTGGAGCCAGTGCCTCATGCAGCTTATGCCAAGGGCCTCGGCGAACGAGCACCCTGCCGTTTTAAATTAACTCGAAACCGCCCATATCGCTCCTGCTCTTCGAAACACGTGCATCGCGGACTTTTTGGGGCAAAAAAAAGTGTGTTTTACTACGAACTTAGAGATACAGCGAACGGATGTCGCGTCACGCTCAGGTTCGTTATAAGCGGGCTCGACTGTAACTGAAATTTCGTTTTCAATGTAGATTCCTAACATTATAACTATTGAAAGACTATTCTTCATTTGCTTTGTTATAAGTGATATTTTGTTATAGTATTCAGCTTTACTAAATCAATGTTTGACTCTCAAACCTTGAAATAACGAAGCCGCATACTATAACAAAATATCGGTTACTTCCAAGCAAACGAAGAATCGTCTTGCAAGTTATAGTGTTGGGAATACACTTTAAAAAAAAATTTCGATCATAACGAACTCATTTTCATGTAAGATGCAACTTTGTTATAATGAGGTGTGAGTGAGGTCCCGCTTATACACTTGGCAACATTTTCCGAAGGCATGTCACCGGCCGTGTGGCTCACACAGGACATCACGCAAGCGCCCATGGTGACCTGCTCTTTTTTTGCTGTCTATGTTCTTTTGCATCACAATGGTAGGTGAGAGAAGACGTCTTTTCGAGTTCATGCTCGCGCCCAGCACTACCATCGAAAGAAAGACGTAAGAATGTGCAGTGGAATTTAATGAAGCATTACAACGTGTGCTCCAACGTTACGCAATTTCCAAGGTTGTGCAGTCAATAAGAGGCAAAAGTGAGAACATAGACGACACAAAAACACTATACATCTTATAGCACACAAAATATCCTAAAAGTAACTAGAGGGGACTCTGGCGCTGCTATCATTCAGTGACCATGGGAATGATGGGTAGTACATGGAGGGTTTGCCTAGTCTTTGCATTTGTGGACTTTGAACGCACTTGTGGCTTCCTTTATTGTTGGGTTTTGGTTTTGTTTCAAATAAAAGAACAAAGCGATGTGCACTTCATAAGCTGATTAGAATTGTTCAGGTACCAAAAGGTTACAGTGGCAAAGTGAACTGCTGAGCATTTGCCGATTGTCGTTTCGTGACAACAAGCCACACGAAGCCAACCAAAGCCGAAAGTACGAAGATTAAACAAATTTGTGTACTACTCATCAGTCTAATGCTGGCTGAAGCACCGCGCATTGCAGCTCCCACAGACTCTAGCACCGGAGTTCCTTCTAGTGTATTTAGCGGAGGCTTTACGTTGTGTCATTAGATGACGAAAAAACCCTTCACCTGTCCCTCGCGGTGGAGGTAGCACATGAGGTTGTTCTCATCCAGTCGAGCGTACAGGGCTAGCAGGTAGTTGTGGATGGCCTCGTCACGGCTGCCCAGCTTGTAGACGCAGAACTCGAGGTAGCGGATCGCCTCGCAACCCTGCGCGCAAGGACGCCACGATTTGCGCCTCGTTAGACACAGACCAAAGTATGGCTGTGTCAGTTTCATTAACTAAAGGGCCTCAAAGAACCCCGGAAGGTACAAAGGATGAGCGCTTCATTCCCGCATGGCGTTTGCCGTCATTTGGGCACAATTATCGGTGCCAACAGTCTGTTCACGTGACGTTGCGGGGAAACAAGCACCAAGTGGTCCACGCCTGAGGGGTGTAAGTTGTGAATTGTGTCCTGCCCTGCTTTGCCATGCAGTCTCACACTCCTTCTGCCTTATCTCGCATGACTATTGCACGCTATCCATTGATTCCACCTTGTGTTGCGTGTTTTCACCTGCGGAAAAGGAGATAAGCTTGTCTAGACAAAGTGCAAAATCCTGATGTTCCCAATGCTCAGTGATGACATTTTCTGCATGTTTTATGCAGAAACAAGGGGTGGGGAGGAGATAACACTTGTAGGAAAGGCAGCAAAGGCGAGAAAAAAACCACTCTATCGTTTCTTAACTGCGAAGTGGCCTAGGGGTCTTTCAGGGTGAAAGCCTTACATGGCTGCCAAGCGGGGAATGTGACCAACGGTGTTGACAACATGAATGGTACCGAAAAACAGACGATGCCCTATTAGATTCTGAGATGGGTCACACGAGACGTAAAGAAGCGACGTCACATGTTGTATAACGATGCCACACACTGCCAAAATTTTTGACGTCACCAGGACATTTGACGATGCAATCACTTGACATTGATGCTTGGTCAGGGGCGAGCCAATACTCGAGGCAGTTCTACACCTTATGAGGGGCAGAAAGGCTTAACGATAGGGTATCAATACAATCAAATGAGAAGAAAACGAAGACTGCCTTTGCTTTCAAGACATCCTAGAGATTTCATATAGGACTCAGTGAGTATTTTTTATTAACAACGACGAAAGGTGGAGACCTTAAGCCTAAAACTCAATGCTGCAGAGTCAACTACAGTAGAGTCTCAATAAACAAAATCCCTTAAAAGAATTTTTGCTTAAATGGAACAATTGCTACTATAATGGCCAATCTTGTTCTTAAATCCTGCACCCATGCTCATCTCTCAGTAAACGAAACTCCCACTGAACAGAACACCTTTTTCCCTGGTTTCTTCAGGTAACATTTAGCGAGAGTCTACTACAGTACGCTATTGCTGCACCGTCTTAAAATGCTTTCAGAGCACTCAGCACAGCATGCCGCCGACCTGCGATCGATCCTTGATGTTGTCGTACTGAACCAAGGCAGGAATGAGTCGCGCTGGGTCGAGCCGCTTCTCCTGTGCGATCCACATGTCCACTGTTCTCTGCGGGATGCTCTGCATCAGCGTCGGCGAGAACTGGTACACCAGCTCCGGATTGTTCTGCAACCATGAGCAGTTGGAAGATAAAAACTGAGGGAAGAACTGTAAGATCAGGAATTGGCTGATTGATTTATTGACTGACTGATTAATTGACTGAATTAATGACTGATCAATCAATCAATCATTCCACAGTGACAGGTCAACTGACTTGACTGTCTCTGTAACTGGCTAACTCGCTAAGCAGATAATTGATTCACAAACTCACAAACTCGATGACTGTCACAGTTACAGGTTAGCTGACTCCCTCAGTGACTGACTAGCTGAGTGAATAATAATGTTCAACTATAACGGTAAGTGACAGGACTGACTATTATGTCCCTCGTTGAGTATAACCCCCTGACTAACCCAATCACTCAGACTTTACTGACCATTCAAATCATTCATCCTCTGATTAATTTGACAAAGTATGAAGTTGCTCACTGATTTTTTGAATAGTGATTAACTCAGTGACTGACGTATTCACCCACCACCTTAGTCGACCGACTGATTCAAACAGGCAGCTAGCAGATTTCACCAACTTGACCGGGTGATTTGGTCACTACATCATACACAAACTTAATCCCATGACTAATTAACTCACTTACTATTCGGCTGACTTGAATGACTTAATAACAGCAAGTGACAGGTCATGTTGACAGTCTAATAATGGCTGTGAGAAACAAAATAAAGAGCTAAGGATCAATACAGATCGCTCGGGTTCCTTAATGGGCTCATAAGGCCCAATACACTTCCCATTTCACTTCAGTCACAATGAGGGTTGTGACAGCCAAGAGTAAAACCTGTGACCATGTCATTAGCAAAGCACCAGCCTGAGCCACGGCACCAGGTATCAAATGGCTCTTGTTTGCGCAAGTGTTGACGAGGAACTTTTCTCCATATAAATCCTGTCCACTAAAACGATCTGCCGTAAAGAGTTGTCTGAGGAAGCCTACGAGAAATGAAAAAAAAAAAAAAGACACTGCTGTACCTGTCTTGTGAGAACTTCAAGGGCAGCCAGGTAGTTCTTGTTCTGGATGTGATACTGGATCACACGTTCGAAGTCTTAAAAAAGGAAAACGCAAAGGAAGTGTCAGAAGTGTGTTAGTCATCCCACAAAATAAGGCATATACGTGTGGCACAATGTAACGCTTATGCACGCTTTTACGAGGTTTCACAGTTTTAACAGGTACTGCGGTTATCCTGTGCACATGAAGCTCGCTCAAAGGCGCATTTCAAAAATCTTGCCAATGACTACGCAGCACACTCAAACTAACAGAAAAGGAGGAGTCGAGCAGTAGAGCACCCACAAGGCACAACTGCTGAGCTATGATCACATAAGTCAAAAACAAATGGACACATAAAAAAAAAGTTCAGTGGAATTCCTACGCATATTCTTATGAGTTAGCAACTTAAAGTGTTTCTTTTGGCTAGATTGACAAAGCACTGATGGGGGCGGTGTTTTGCAGTTGTCTTATCAAGAATGAGGCAACGCAGAGGCCGAATAGTATTTATGTACTTGATCTGGTGCAACCAAACTGTTACCCAAATTTCAGATTCAAAAAAGTATTACGTAAATGAGTCCCCCGATTCTGTCACATCTATCACCTCCTTGTTGGAACCATCGTTTTCTTGAGTCAATGCATTTGCGACCGTAGCACAGCGCAAAAGGCAGCTTCGCCGCATTACGAGAATGTAATGGAGTGAAACATAAAATTTGAAGGGGCTACTGCCAATCGGACACTGACTGTATTTCTCTTTGGAAGTTCAAACAGTAAAATTTTGGTGCGAATTGAATCGAATAGCAAGAACTATTAGAAAAATATTCAGAATTTCGAATATTCACACACTTTAAGTTAAAATCCCTATGGAAATCAATTTTGGCACTGCTGATCATCATGCCATTGCACAAAAATCTCGATTGCTCAGACCAACTTTGGCCACAACGTGGAAACAGGGCACAGAGTAAAAGAGCGCATAAGGCAAGCTTGACTAAAACGGAATTAATTTTGTGATTGAAAAGCACTGACCAGGATTTCTGCAGGTACTTGTGAAAAAAAAATATATAGAGCGACAGAGTTTTTAAAATGATATTTGGAGCCAGGCTTCGAAGGTGCAGTAAAGAGAAAAGAAAACTATGCAAAAGCACAGCAAATTCACCAAGTATACACAAACACACTCACTAACCTTTCATGATGTTGGCGAAGTCAATGAGGATATTCTCTTCACCATGCTTGGCGATGAGCTTGTAAACGGCACTTCGATTGTTGCTTACGCATTCCTGGAGAAACCAAAAAAGAGACACAGCGTATGAAGAACAGTGCAGCTTCTCAAGCGTTGGCACCTCTTTTTTTTTTTTTTGTGCCTTCAGCAAGCGAGGAAAGGACCGATCATGCGGTCTGAACAAAACGGAGTCGTAAAGTTTTACTTTAAAGGCTCCTTTTCTGGGGGAGGGGGGGGAGGGGGTGAATGAAAATTTTTATCGAGAAGGTCGCTTTTCTGTTAAACAGCAGAGTGACTTGTTGGGCGAGTTGGTTCATTCTGAACAAGTTTATGGCGCAAAAAAAAACAAAAAAAAACAAGGCCAAATTAATACAACTGACAATTAGGCCAAGAGAGGCATGGCAGACATTAATTGTTGTCTATTATCGCAGAGTAGCATCAATGACATAAACTGAAATGAATTAAAGTGGAGCAAAAATTACTTTTTTCTTCAGCGGGATCCGAAAACACAGCCTTTGAATCACACGTCCAACGCTTTCGCAGGTCGGCAAACCCACTCATTAGTCGGCTCACTTTGACTCAGATTGAGCTGTGAGTCCAAGCGAGTTCGGGTGAGTAAAGTATAGGGAAGCTTGAGCCCAAGTGAGTTCCGTTGAGGAATACACCCGTGCATCCGAGTTAGCCATAAGTGCTAAACATATTTCTTGAGTGAGTCTGAGTGAGGTCTACCTTTTACTGTCAAACTAAAGACGCTTTTCCAATTCAGCATTTTCATATCAGGATTCAAGAGACTTGCCGATACCGATTTCCGGAATGCCTAAAATCTGGGTGCGGGTTGTGAATTGTAGAAGTTTTGTTCCTGAGTCATGTTTCAACACGTGGTGTCCGCATTTGTTTTGTCTTATAAGGAAAAAAAATATGAGACTAAAACAATTCTGTACAGGCCAGGCCGCAAGTGAGATGTTTGTGGGCCACATGTTTGAAACACCTGCATAACACCACTGTGGCAGGTGAGGGGTGCCTTCTCAAGCATGCTGTAAATACAGTACTCAACTGAAAAGCCGTGAAAAGAAAACACATCCGGAGAAAATGTAACATCCTGAAAAAATGCAACTCGGGAACATTTCACCAGAAACTATAACCTGGCAATTAAATTAAAGGCTGAAAATGTATACCACAGTTCAAATTACACAAGTTCACCACCGCACTTATACATCACTAATTCCAGCCTCCCAAAAAGGTATCAACAAAATCAGGCAGTCAATTCAGTAGTGAAAGAGCCTGGTAATTGATTGATCGCTTTTTGTTACTCGAGGAAGAATTCAAGAGAGTTGGCATATATGTGACTGTTTTCACTGAAATATTTGGTTACTGATTAACCCTTTGCAGCCCAAAACCTTTACCCACCTTGCATCTGTTCCGGTCCGAAAGTAACAAAAATGAAAGCTGCTCAAGCAAAAAAAGTTTACTTATTTTTGTGAGAGATGAGGCATAATGCAGTGAGAAAGCATGCACACCAATCGAAAGAGTCTGTCCAGCACTGCTCGACAATGGACTAATATAGGCATGTCGCATTTTCAGAAGGTGCCCGCCGACTGACTGACTGAAGAGGGGTTAAGCCTTCTTTGCATAAAAATTTTCCCGCTCACCGCCACTTTGGGCTCTTCCAGGAGTCCGCGGAACTCCGCGACGAGGTTGAGGTAGGTGCCCTCGTTCTGCCGGCCCGCCGTGCGGAGCGTGCCAAGCCTGTTGAGGAACAGCTCGACGAGCCAGAAGGTGATCACCGTCGTCTGCGTCTTGTCCGCGGGCCGCAGCCCTTTGAGCTTCTGCAGCAGGAAGCGGCGCAGCGAGTCCTCGTTGTCCTCTTCCGCGCACTGGAGGAACTTGAGCGACACCTCCTCGAACGAGGCACGCGTCTGTGCGTACAGCTCCGCACTCTTTACGTACCTGTGGAGACGGTTTCGTTCTGTTCGTTCCCACAGGACAAGCTGTTTTTCTGGCGACTGGTGCGCGACGAGATGGTGGACAGTGACAACACCTTCCACTTTGGAGAGATTCAAAATTTTCGAACACTGGGTGTACCTGGAGTCAACGTTCCAACGGGCGGTCTTGTTTCTCTTCAAAGATGCAACTGCCTACTTTAGCATGTTTATGAGCATCTTTCACACCCTCTCCCCCAACTCAAACAGCTGAGCTGTGGGGAAGGGTGCTTATAAATTCTTATAAATGACTGCAAAGGCATTAATCATTTTTTTTCACACAAAAAACGACTCTCGATATTGTGACCTATGAAAACAGAGTACCCGCATGAGAACCAACAAATTCTTTGACAGCTTTTGGCACTGAATAAGGGACCCATGGATAGCTACTTGATGGCATCAAGATTGCCCATCAGGACTGCCAAAGTCGTGACCCTTGGTCAGCGCTTTACAGACACCGCCCCTTGCCGTCTCCCCAACGATTCAGCAATGCCAGTCATCTCCAAAACATGAATCCTGCATGAATGCTTGCCTTCAAACTGCCCAGAATGCGAAGATGTAAGCTCGTACCTTGCCCGAGGCTGGGCATTCAGTTAAACACTTCTGTCTCTTCTCTGCATAATATCTTTATTTCATTAAAGTAAAATTAAAGCCCTTTCCTGTAAACTTTACTTGATTCTCATCATCTGGTTGACCACGATTGTCACCGTTGAATAATTGAGCCCCTGAATTCCATTCCTTCCTTCTCTTTGATTGTGTACCACAGGAAGTAGCTAAGGCAGACAATAGAGTTTCCTATATATACACCAGAGGGAACTCTGGTGCTAGTGTCTACAGGAGCATCAGGGCACAAGCTTCAGCCAGCATAGGAACCATAGGCATTACACAAAGTTGCCTAATCCTTGTTTTTTCGGCTCGGTGTGGCTTCGCTTGGCTTGGAGCCACTTTGTCACAAGACGGCAGTCGGCAAATGTTCGGCACTTGCATTTCACCACCTTGACCCTATTAGGCTCATTGATTCAAACCCGCTCACGAAATCCGCAACGGTTGGCTCTTTTATTCAAAACGAAACACAGCAATAAACAAAGCCCGCAAGTATGAAGACTAGGCCAATGTGTGTACTACACATCATTCCCGTGCTCGCTGAACGATTGCAGCGCCAGTCCCCTCTAGTAAACTTTATGAAACTCTATGGGTAGACAACTAAGTTTTACGTAACAGTCAACATAGACGCGAATCTTGAGTGACCCATACTCACTCCTTCTTCGCGAAGAGATCTTCAGCGTGTTTTGTGAGAACCTGGTCCAGCTTCTGGGGGTCTCCCTGATGGAACGAAATGGGAGAGGAAAGAAAACGATGTCTAGAAAGAAAAGGTTTGCAAACAGCATGTTTCGCTCATATGTCAACGTACCTTGCAGTGCTTCTTGGCAAGGTCGTACTGGCAGTTCTTCAGATACACTTCCCAGACGTTCCTGCAGGAAGATTCGTTTGGAGGAAGTTTGCACCGTTACCATCTTTACCGTAGTTGACGTTTCCCAAGGTTCACACTGTTCGCAGCCTTTATTCGTTCCACTAACATCACTAACAGTCTTGTTCACAAGGTTTGTGGCATTGTGCTTCAAGGTTTGCATGGGCAAAAGTTCATCTCAAATTTAAGAGCCAAAGTTAATGTTTGCCACGCTTGGCAAAATTTGCATTTACATCATCACTGAGTGTAATGTTTACTAAAGTTCACAATGTTCATGGTGGTTCCTCTTTATACTGTTTGCCAAAATTTATCTTAATACCATTCACTAATGTTGACAAGGTTCATAACATTGTTCCAAAAGATTCGCCAAGTGCACCTTCCAGTTGTGCACCAAGGTTTAGCAAGTGTAATGTTCACCTGAGTTCATGTTAACATTGTTTCACAAGGTAACCAGGTAGCCAAGCTGTAGGCAGTCACTCACGACGATTCATTCATTTGCTTGTTACGCATAACATTCGAAAGTGAGTCGACAAGTTATTAGGAAAGTCGTCACGAAGGGCCTGGATTGATTTTGACTGCCTCAAGTCCCCAATGATGTAGATCTGTGCTTAAGAGCATAAGCAGTTTTCCAAATTGCTTCCGTCAAGATGCGGCCATAACGGCTAGAAATCGAATGCACAACCTCATATGAAGCAGGAAAAAGTCGCTAAGCCACCAAGGCGGCTGGTGGTCACTTTCATCATTTAATAACAAAAATCTCGTTGATATAACTCAACCCTCGATATAAAAATCCAGATATAACGAACTATCAGTTATAACAAAGTAAATTAGAAATAGCTGTCTACAAATTAGAAACAGTGTGCTACAAATATATGTTTACAGCAAATTTAAGGATATAGCAAAGTATTTTCGTGGCAGGTTTGACTTCGTTATAGTGAGGTTTGAGTGAAACCCAAACATGCTCAGGAGTCACTTCATGCATTTTTATTTTAAAAACAGCCTCTGAATCAAGTTCACCGTTCTCTGAACACGCCGAAAGCATCACACAATAACTTTTTTTTCATGAACATACTGGTTCTTTTTGCAGGCAAGACTAATGACAAACAAATCACACGCATGACTGACATAATCCAAAATGCATTTTTTTTTCCTACAACGATCCGACACTTGAACCTTCAAACATTGCCCGTGTTGTCGAATTTCATTCTATATTAGAATGACTGGGTTTACTGTTTGTTTGTTCGTTTGTTTTAATTTAAATTTTTTTTATTGTTATATGTAGTTATGCTGCTTGATTGTGAATAACTAGCAACTTTGATTAGTTGTTTGGCTGACAATTTTTTTTTTTTTGTAATCTAATTTTTGTGTACCTTCCCCCACTGCAATGCCCATTGGCGCTATGGGTCATGAAATAAATAAATATATAGTATAAACAATGCAAAATTACTCCCAATATTACTTCCAACATGCTCTCTGTGGTCAAAGCAGTGCAAACAATGCGTGGTAGCATTGACACAGAAAACAATCAATGATGTAGAAACACTGTGATGACTACTGGTATTTCCCAAAGCGAATTCATGTGTCCTTGTGTTCCAAAATAGGCTTGGGGCCACTGCGACAATAGCCACCGTTTTGCACCTTACATTCAGTGCCGCTGTACTCTCCCAAAAGGCTCTGCTTCTTAGATTTCTTCAGTGCAATTATCACCAATTTTCGAACTGAAATTTTTGCGTATGTATTGAGGATGTTCTGCGATGACTCACCTGTCTTCGTTACTGACCGTGTAACGATAAACTGCCAGCTCGGAGAAAGCCCAAATCTTGCCTTGAACCGGATCCCTGGCCAAGCCGACCGCACGGCCGTACATCTGCGAAGACCAAGATGGCACGCATTATTTGCCTGAAGGAACGTACGACCTGCAAAACTTTTAATCCACTCTTCTTAGCCAGAAAGCAAGGACAACACTAACCATGCGAAAAGCATAACTGTGGGTCTGCACAAATACAAAACATAAACTTCATTTCTTGGCAAGATTCGTCTGGACGTCTTGTAGACATCCTCGAGCTCCGAGGCGAAACGCACAAGAATCCAAGGCTTGTCACGTCTGACCTTCTATAAGCTGCCGGAATCCATGGATACAATTTAAAAGCCCCATACGTGCCTTGCCCCAGAATGTGAAAACACTGATAACAAGAGAAAAAGAAACTCAAAATGTAGGCAGATGCAGCACCTGTGCTCCACAGCTAATTTAAGATTATCACGAGATGTCTTCAAGACACCTTAAAAAAATCTTTTAAAACCGAAACGCAGTCACATCACTTGCAAATGATGCCTTTTTTGAAGAAGTCATCTAAGCTGTACGTTTCGTGGCCATCTGCAGCATTTTTTTCATCTTGCAGATACACTATCAGTCCTAGAACACACTTCCTTTCAGGGCTAGCATTTCCACAGCTTGCGATAAGACCAAAGCTTTTTACCGTGTCCACTACCAACAACCGCCGATTCAAAAAGAAAAAAAGAAAGTGATGACACACGTACCTCAGGAAAAACGTCTTCGAATACCAGTTCTTCATTCAGCAGACAGTAGGCTCTCAACCTACGGATGAACGATTTAAAGTTTAATCAGATTGAACTCGGAAACATATGATGCATTCTTTAACCTTTTGCACACTAAAAATGAACTATGATGAAAATCGACTTTGTTTATCAATTGAAAAACAAAGAAATGCTGCAGAGTGAGTGTGGAAATTGATCAAATGTTCTAAAACTAGCACAAAAAGAATTAGCACAAAAAAAATTAGCCACTTTACTTTATTTTAATTTTATTTAAAGGGACACTAAAGATAAACAATGACTGAATTTAGATTGACAAACTGCGTTCTGAGAACTCTAATGCCATATGTTTCATTATCAGCGGGGGAAATCAAGATCGAAGTTTCATTTTTTAGGCTCTGCATCGATATCTCCAACACCACTCCAGAAACTTCAAAATGTATTTCTCTTATTTTCGCGACCTTGGCTCGATAAAATTTTCTTAAACTTCGTATCCTAGGTCTACGACACCCACAAATAACAATGCAGTTCAATTTTGTCGACAGAAGCTATGTGGGACACAGTAGACGCCTTCAAAAGCAATGACGTCACAGTGTCCGCTGCGTTAATGTTGACATCGCATCTCCACCCGCATTTTCATGCGTTCACTCGCTCGCCAATCGTCGTGTAGCGGTAAGAACGGTGTTTTCGGGACTGTGAAATTGTACTTCACTAACACGCGAACAGTCATTTTGCCATTTAGTGACCCTTTAAGGTGTGCCCTTCCAGAAAGGACTAGATGACGAAGAATGCCCATTAGCGGCGCTAGTTTTGCCGAGTCATATCACCCACCTGTCGTTGAACAGAACGAGCGTGTGGAACTCTGTCAGCACCATGGACAGGGGCTTTCTCAACACCTTCCGTTGAGCATCTTCATCACCGTATCTGAACCATTGTAGTTAAGGGAAGCAACACAGGGAAGTTCATGATTTCGCTTTATCTATAAATTCCGGAAAACAGGTAGATGCAATTTTTATGGATTTTGCTAAAGCTTTCGGTACGGTCTCTCACAATAAATTACTCTTCAAATTGGATTTAATTCTTAAGAATACTCAGCTTCTAAATTGGATTTCCGGTTATCTTTCAAATCGAAAACAGTACGTCTTTTTCAATGACCATTGTTCTCGTACAGTACCGGTTGACTCGGGTGTTCCCCAAGGCTCTGTGCTCGGACCCCTTCTCTTTTTATTGTTTATAAGTGATATATCACATGATATACCTGTAAAAGTTAAGTTATATGCGGATGATTGCATCCTGTACTCGGAAATAGAAAACCATGCTGATCAAATTCATTTAAAGGATGCATTTCAAAAGGTCATTCGTTGGTGCGATAAATGGCAGATGTCAGTTACTTTTAAAAAGACCGTTTTCATGAAAATTTCTCACAAACGTAACACTCTTCATTTTGCATATTCAGCCAATAATGTTTTTTTGCAGGAGGTACAACACTACAAGTATCTTGGTCTTTGGATTTCGAATGACCTTAACTGGACTAGACATACTAACACTGTAATAAGCTCGTGCAATTACAAATTATTTTATCTTAGACGAGCTCTTAAGCACTCCACTCCCGCCGTTCGCCTTGTTGCATTTAATGCAATTGTTCAACCTACTTTAGATTATACATTCATAATTTGGTACCCTTAAACCAGAAAAAATATCAGCGAAATGGAAAAAATTCAAAAGAGAGCTGTTAGGTTTATTTATAACAGTTTTGGTCGTACTTCAGTAACATGTTTATTAGCAAAAGCTAACCTCCTTCCAACACCTACACAAAGAAATAAAGTATTGAGATTGAAATTTTTCTTTCAGTTAGTTAAAGGTTATTTTAAGTTAGACTTATCACATATACTTCATTTGTCCACAGGATATACCACAAGGCAGAGGCATGCCTTTACAATAACCCCATTTTCCACCTGTAATAACACATTCAAGTATTCGTTCTTCCCTAGGACAATTACCGAATGGAATAACCTTAGTAACGAAGTTGTTTCCCAGTCATCTTTGAACCTTTTTGCTGCGCAGCTCTAGCAGCGAGTGTAACTTCTATGACATGTGCTCCTGTTGTTTATTTCAATCACTATAACCATTCTCCACTTGTGATCATCTTGAATTTAGCACTCATTTCTCTATATGTTCTTATGCCGGTTTATTACAAACCACTGTTCTTTTTTTTTTCTTTTTTTTTCGTTCTGGAAGTGCGTAAATGCCTTACCTGTTTTATATTTATTTGTTTGCCGATTTGTAAACTTATCAAATGTATATTCACCCTGCCAAAACACTGTTAGGGTTGCACTATTCATAAATAAATAAATAAAAATAAATAACACAACGCCCACGTCCAACTACTGATCGTGACATTACAGTCCCTTCAAAGCACACTGTGAACTGCCAAATTTCCGCTACAAATAGCCCCTAACCAGTAACTTTATAATATCCCGTTCTTTGAAAGAATTTCAGTGGTTAGTGAGCACTCACGTGAGAAACTTGAATTGTGAAAAACTTGTGATAAATGGTGAGAAACTTGTGAGGAATATTGTAAGAAACTTGAATTTCCATGAGTCTTGGCCACCAGAGTTACAAATTAAAAATTTCAGGCCTCTAAAGTCGCAGCTACTTGTGCAACCTACGCCCTGGTTCAGTATATTTGAAGCCAGCGCTTTATTGAAAGAAGGTTTCATTCAATGTGGAAACTGTGTCTTGGGAAAATTCAGTGCGACATACTGCGCATTGAAACGAGTATAAACGTTCTTGTTTGGCACGCAAACGATGACAGTGCCTTAAAGGGACACCACAGAGGAAGAATGACTTGATTTAGATTGACAAACTGCACTCGAGAACTCCAATGCCATATGCTTCGCTTTCATATGTTAATTATTACCGGAGAAAATCAAGGTTGAAGTTTAAATTTTTAATTTTGCGCCAAAATCTGCACGTTACGTCAATCATTGCAAAACATATTTTTCGTAATTTCGCAGCACTGGCTCGATAAAATTGTCTGAAACTTTGTATGCTAGGTCCGTGGCACCCACAGATGACAATGTACTTCATTTTCATCGATTCACCTGATAGCCACTTTCAAAATTTATGACACCACTGAGTTTGGTGCAGGAATCTCGAGATGACATTTCCAGCCGCATTTTTTTTTTCACGTGTTTTCTCGCTTACCAAGCATCGCATCACGAAAAAGTGGTGTTTTCGGGATTGTCAAATTGTGCTTTACTAATATGTGAAAAATGGCTTTGCTGGGAAGGATACTCCAAGAGCTTGGGGTTGAAGAGGACGACCTTGGAGTCCGAGTCGATGGCCGGCAGCAGGATGTCGCCAAAGTACACACCAGGCTCTGAGAAAAAGAAACGAGGAACGCTAAAAAAGTGCAACAAATCTTTATTCAATGATCACACTTTGCCGAAGACACTATAGCAGGGGGATTACAATGTTAAAAAACATGATTAGTACAGCACACTTGCTCACCTGATAAGCGATTCTATTCATTGATGAGAAAAATAAATCAGCATACAGGTTAGATTTGGCACTGTATTCTAAAATATTTAAACAATGATCATTACGTCATGAGATATAATGAGAACTCTGTACGAACACTTCTTTTTGAATGCTGGTTTTGGCATGAAACATTTGATAGGAGAGTTTTAAATGTAATTTTCTTCAACTGGATGAAACTCCCATCCTAACTCATTTTTTCACCTTGGTGCAGCTGTCGTTTCTTGAGCAGCGACTTGGGAGATCTTTCTGTTCCACTAAGAATTAAAAATGTGCATGATGTTGCAGGTCAACACGAAGTTTCAGAATAAGAAACCATGTGAGCATCCTTTTTTTTCCTCGCGATTTGCAACGAGATGCGGGGCTAATGTCTTGGCAGCGTTTCGCATGCGTTCATGTCCCCGCGGTTCCGCGGTCAGCGCATCGAGCAGACGACAGCCGTGGAACGCTGCTACGTGTTCGCGCACTCATTGTGCTCACCTATTCTGACATGTCTAAGCCAACGTTTCCAAATCATGCCGCAGAAACAGGCAGTAGACCGAAAAAAGAAACCCCGTTCGCGGGCACGGGTGTTGGGCTTGTTCGGGAAGGTCATGCACGCGTGACCTCTTGTTCGGATGCCGGAGAGGGTAGGGAAGAGATTTGACTTGCGAAGGCTACACGGAGGAGCAGCAAGGGTTTCGAGCTCGCCTCCTCTCATCCTCGTTTTGCGCCGCTTCAATAAAAAAAAAGTTTTCTCAACTTGTTTTGAACCGATTCAAAAGCTTTTTGTGGCAAAACGTTCCTTATTAGACACCCAACATCTTCCACGGTCTAACTAAAATTTGGTATGTGGCCTGGTGAGTGGCCCTTTAACGTGCACCGACATCGCACTGTACAATGACCTCTACCATTTCGCCTCTACTGAAGTGAGACTGCCGCGGCCGGGATTAGACCGGCGTCCTGCGGGTCAGCAGCCTACCACCGCCACGACACCGTGGCAGACGAGCACAAATGATCAGAGTGCACGTCCGTCGCGACAAACCAAAAGACAGCACGCGCAAATATTTACAACTGGCAGGGCACCCATGCAACAAATATGGCGCCGCTTCTTCATCCTCTTTGTGCACCCCTTATCCTTAGCTGTTTTTTCCTTACCGACACTGCAATGCAAGAAGCAAACCTGTCGGCACTACTTGGATCCACTCACCCAGCATCAGAGCAAACTTTTTGGCCGGTTCCGCCAAGCCCGAGCTGAACAGCTGCAGGCAACTGTACTTCAGGTCGCTCGGGATTTCCTTGCAGCGGTCTGCGAGTAAACCGTATTGGTTAGGCAGGCCGAGACATGCCAGCACTAGCCAAGACAAAGCAAGAAACGCAAGGGGAACCAACTGAGGTTGTCCGAGCCCGGTTCTCAGGTGCTGAAATGCAACAGCGAAACAACGAGCATAAAAAATAGTATGTGCGTTTTCTTGAGATAATCACGCCACTTATCCACAGGTCTGGCCGCTAAAGCTGAAGCAAGAACTTGTCTCAAATGAAAGGAAGGACAACTTTCCCAAGAGGTGGGGTTGCCCTTCCTCTGACTTTAGAAAGCTTACTAGTAACAGTTGAACCCCTTCATAAGAAAAGAGACATTGATAAAAAAGACAAATGGGTATAAGAAACACCAGTGTGCCTACAGTAATATATGGGTTGATAAGAAAATGCATACGAGGTACCGTGCTTAAAAAAGACAAGAAATGCTGCCTGGAGCTTGCTTCTTATAAAGAAGATTAACTGTATGTTGCGGCAATGGTTTACATTGGACGCTGTCAAAGGCAGTGTCCAATATCACAGATCTGAGCTTAACATCTTCCTAGTCTGAAGACACAGAAGTAGAGCACGCGGAGAGGGCACGCGATGCTGGTAGACAACGCGTTTGACAGAAATAAGCGGGAACTGCAAACTACCCAGGACGTTGTCGGTGACGTTGAACACCCTGAGCAGCACCGGTTGTTCGCCGGAAGGAGCGCTGGTGCCCACAAACTGGTAGATCCGTCTGCACGAGTTCAATCAATCAATCTTTATCAGTATCACAGCGGAAGGAAAATATGCCGAAGAAGCGATAACAACCACAACAAAAAAAAAAACGCACATGATGGCGAACATTAGCACTTCTAAAGTTAGACAAAAGAATACGAGATGATGCAGCAAGACTGGAGCCCTTATCAATCTGCAAAAGCACATACAAACTGCTGTCAATAGCTGATTCACAGCATAATCGCACAGACAAACCATAGTTATTCATCTACAATATTGCGAGCCTTGTTGAGCTGTTACAGGGGTGGGTAGAACAACACAAAAATATACAAAGTAATATACAGCATACAGTACAACGCAATATACGACATAAGGATAGAATGCAATACTCATGTAAATATTGTTCCTAGTCATTGTTGAAAAAAAAAAAAAACTGACCTTTGCTAATGTACGAACACCTCTGGATCAAGCCTAATAGATTCGTTATTTGTTCTGGTTGAGAATGAGAACTTAAAGAGGTGATCCCATGTGATGTAGGGTTAATGAGTTGACGAATTATTGGTACGCACCAGCAGCCATCTCAGGAAAGGATAGGAAAGGACAGAAAAGACGAGCAGGGTGGCAGGGGAAACAAATACAAGGCAGGATCAGGCTCAGAGTCTCTATTACATAGCTGAATGAAGATTTTTGAAGCAATCATTTTTTTAATGGGCGGGACAGTTGCAGAATCCCCCTGTAAGAAGTAAAGTAACATGGGTCCTGATTTTTTTTTTTCTTTTTACTCTTTGTCGAAGTTGTGCTCATTCTACAGAGAGAGGTTCACTTTCGAGAGCGGCAGCGATTTGGCGAGACAAGAGATTCCCCACCTCGGAGTCGTGGCGATGATGAAGCACCGCTGATCCCCGCTGCGTGGGATGAAGCGCCGCACCTCGAGTCCCATTATGGGTCCGCTGCTCAAGTCTTGACTCAGCTGGAACACCTTAAAATAAGGACCAGGCTTAGCAACAAGCCTAAACATGCGCTCTGCAGCTAGTGTGACTGGATGCGATCATTTCGTAAAAGAGCATTAAACCACACAAGACTGTATGGGTTTACGTTTTAAGGGATCAGGGTAGTGCTACAGCTGACACTGAACAGATGAGGGCGGACAAGGATGCAATTTTCAACCGGTGAACCACACTAGACCGTTCTATCATTCCGCCTGCAACACAGGCCAATAGCCCCTACAGCCTGATTATTAGACGTCGAACACCCGCGTAAGGAGCACAGATGTCTGCAATTTATTTATGCATAAAAGTACCCTACAAACACATTTAAAAGTGTGCTAATTCAATGAATCCCAGGAGAATGATGCAGCAAGCGTAGATTATTTCCCACTGATATTAGCGTGCAGTTAGTACACTAAAGCATCGTTGTATAAGTTGCATCATACACAAAAATAAGCTCGTTGTATCTGAAAATTTGTTATACAGATACAGTCTTAAAGCTATGTTCATTGCAAGACTATTCTTCATCTGCTTCATTATAACAAATATTTCATTATATTTGGGTTCGTTATATTGAGGTTTAGGTGTATATGCTTATTATACACTATGAACTTCTCATTTTTATCAGTTAAGTCCCATTTGTATCAGGCACAGCTTAGTTGTTGCAAGTGAAGACTGCCAAGATGCGGGATGCAAGCTTACCTGCTTGCAGTATCGCTCTGGCGAGCCCTGCAAGAAGAATCGGTCGTCGGTGGCGGCAAGCTCAGTCTCGAAAATGATGCCTGCGAGAATTTGCACAAGAATCGAATATTAACAGCAATATTAACAATTATAATAATATCGGGGGACTTCCATGACAATACTCCCCCCCCATACTATTGTATCCATATTATATCCACCTCATTGTACTTTCACGTATGACAATACAAATTGCAGCAAAACTGATAGTTGGACGAGGTGGTTCTCATCGTGAAGTTTCAGCGCACATAAAAGACAAGGACTTAATGTAGGAGACAAATGAGCGACTATCGCTCAAAAGTTTATTTTTTGGCAATTGAAAAACATATAAGTACCAGCATTCTTCCCAGAGCATGCACGAAATTAGATTTTTTTATCTTGTTTTCCGGTCTTTTTTTCTTCACAACTGGTGACTCTGCCTGTCGCCTCCACTGTACCCTCGTCATTTATGCATGCCAAAATGTCGGCACGAACAGAATATTATTATGAGAAAACACAGTGAACAGACGCACGAATTTCAGCACACTTATGCAGAGTTTCCGATAAATATACAGAGGGGAACTCTAACGCTAGTGTCTACGGGAGCTGCAACACGTAGCGCTACAGCGAGCATGGGAATGAAAGGGACTACACATATTTGTCTAATCTTCGTACTTTCGGCTCCGCTCGGCTTTGCGTGGCCTGGAGCCACTTCGTCCACGAAACGACAATCGGCAAATGTTCCGCTGTTGCTTTTCGCTATGTTAACCTTTCGGGCTCACCAATCCGAATCAGCTCCCAAAGTTCACAATGATCCATTCTTTTATTTGAAACAAAACCAAAACACAAGAATATACAAAGCTTCAAGTGTGTTGCAAGCCGCGAGGTTTGAAAAGTGGGCCAATTTGTGCACTACCCATCATTCCCGTGGTGGCTGAACGATCGCAATGCCAGAGTCCCCTCTAGTTGATTTTCGAAAACTTTACGGCCCTGGCGTCATTCAACATGCCCCTAAGGCCAAGTTCACCTCCACCAAAGTGCGGTCACCGAAGCCGTAATTCGATCGCACAACTTTCGGTGGAGCAGTTCAGCACTGCGACCACTGCGGTGGGTGGCTCTTTGACAGAAACGCCAGTTCCGCTTATGATAAGCGGATTTCGGCTCTTCTTTTCCGTGCCATCACTTGTGCAGTATTCAAGTCGCTTGTAGCATTTTCTGGTCAGATTTCCATTTTTTCCAGCGAATATGGTTAATTTAGTGACAATCACGTTAACTAATAGTGTGTTTGATAATGACTCTGGGTGGTTGAGTGCTTAAGTCAAACATAAATATGGCGAATCAACGAGCACTGGCAATCGTGCACTGGCAAACATGTGCTCAACACAATGGAGACTACTCATGAGGCAATGCTAAAGATTAAATATGCTTTGCCTCATAGTTGTGCATATTTCCGCTGAGCAAAATAACGAGAGTGACCTTTTCAACTCCTCTTCATAATTGAAGGACTTTTTTTTTTTAATCAAAAATGAGAAGTATTTCAAGAATGAGAAAAAAATTCCTCAGGTTTCCACTTCCTTTTTGCTTCTTCGTGAAAACTGCACCGCTTTGTTGGGACTGCTCTCGCGACGGTTTATTTTCTTGCCATCTCCTTACGATTCGGAAACTCTGCTCTCTAACTCAAAGCCTTTGTTTCGAGGAATATTCGTCGGTTTCATTCGTAGAGCTCTGTGCTACAACCAAACGGACGACGACTTTTCATTTCTCTGCATCTTCGTTTACCAACATACGAGTGGCAGAAAAAAAACAAAGAGAGGAATAAGTAGTAACAAGTACCTTTGGTTGTGCCGACAAGAATGAAGCTCGTTGAATTACTTTCGGGAGGGTTCTCGTAATTCCACCCGACAGCGCTGATAACGTGTCCCTAGGAAAAAAAGAATACGGCAGTACTCAGCTTGTAGTGATATGCGGTACTCCGTATCTTTTTGCCCGGTCTACCCAAGGTGACAGAGGAGGGGATGGATGGATGAATGTTCTTTAAAACTTTTTTTTTCATTTATTCTCTACAGGCTTTGCCCCCCACCAAACAAATACAACAGACATTTAGGCCAATCGTATAAAGGACTAACTTTTGTATTTAATTGCAGTGAATTTATGACATAAACTCAAATAAATTAAAGTGAACAAAAAAGTGTCCGCTCCGTCAGAGCAGTCCAAAAAAAAAAATCACCTACAAACTCATAAAAGATGAGTTAGAATTGTACTAATGGAAAGGCCAATTTTTCATTCGCATTAATTCACTTTATTTTGCATTGTAAATTACTGCTGCCAAACCCCAAGCAAGCGCCCCTCAAGCCTTTTTCGAATTATCTCAAATGTGCACCAATGACTGAGCAAGCCCTTCGGGGCATCTTTTTTGCAACTTTTATCCCCGCACAGAATACTGCAGCAGTGATTCCAGGAAACTTAATGCATGAGAGTCTTTAGATATGCACATTATTTTTTAGTACTTTCACAGTGCGTCATCTCGAGGCTGCGTTTTTTTGACGTGTCACAAATTGTTAGAACACTTGAACTTCTTTACCCTCTTGTCGTGACACATGAAATGGCACACAAGGATTCGTTCCAGTTCAGTGAAAACAGCCAATTTATGTGTATGTAATTAAGCATTTCATTATAAGTACTGATGTGAATTTTTTTTAAAGGCTCCTGCACTGCCATCGTGAATCCCAAAAGGGGCGAAAATAAGCAGAGGTCCCCCACTACATTGACAACTACGCCCCTGCTGTTGTTATGTGGGTTTGAATGGTGCAATGGCCAAGTTCCACCAAAGAGCATTGGGACAAATATTGGGGTGTTCACAGTGACCAATGGCTTACTATGGCATCATGCAGTGTGGCTGTAAAGTGACCTAAAATCAAGCGCTATATGGCTGCATAAAAGATATATATATGACACTAAATAATGACAGTGATTGATTGATTGATATGTGGGGTTTAACGTCCCAAAACCACCATATGATTATGAGAGACGCCGTAGTGGAGGGCTCCGGAAATTTTGACCACCTGGGGTTCTTTAACGTGCACCCAAATCTGAGTACACGGGAATGACAGTGATATCGGGAGTGTTCTGTAAGCATTGAATTAAATAGATTTGAAATGTTGGAATGTCAGAAGCGCACAAATGCCTCCTTCAAGCTTTTTGGCCCCGAAAGTTGAGAGGCAAGTGCTTTGTTAATACACTTAGATCTCAACACTGCTAATACATTCAAGCCTCATTATAACAAAGTTGCATATTACATGAAAATAGGTTCATTATATCCGAAAATTCGTTATGGAGGTATATTCCTAACACATATTGATTATAAAACTATTTTCATTTTACTTTGTTATAACCGATAGCTCATTATATCCAGTTTTGTGATATCAAGGTTTGAGTTTATCTGCTGTTGTGGGCTCATGAGAGCTTACACTGCAAAAAAAAAGACAGGACAAACCTTGAGTTTTGCAAGTGATTGGGCCTTTGGTGCATTCTGGTGGAGGTAGCAGTTGTCGAAGAAGGTCTCGCCATCCGAGTGAACCACGCTGACCAAGAGGTGTCGGCCCAGGGGGTCCAGGAAGAGCTGGTAGATTTTGGCCGCATTCCCCTTGTCACCGAGCGATCGGATCAGATCGACCTCTGAACAAACCACACGGCCCGGGGACTGTTAACTAATTTTTAAGATACCTGTTTTCTTTAGTGAAACAGGAACCTTACTGGTCAAAATGTTTCACAATGAAATGGTAACGTAGAAAATGGTGTCAAACACTTGTAATCAAGATTTTGCAACCCATGGCTACTATAAAATCAATACACACAACCCATGCTGCAAACAATGAAAGGTGAGTGTAAGAGTGGTTCATGTTAGTGCACGATTGTATGCGGCAGATGCACGTACTGCATGCACATGTACTGCGGCTCGACATGTTGCACTTGTAGCAAAGGCAGTGATACCGCTCAGCGTGCAACTCCTTTAACCTATAAAGCAGCAAAGAATAGAGTGGGCATGGATAATAACGTACTATACCAAAGAGAAAACTGTGTTCAGAAAGTGGGGATGCTGGCTTTAAGCAGAGATTACACGCAGGCTTTTTTTTTTTCTTTTTGCAGACTTAAAGTTAGGGGTGTGAGTTATGGACAAGAAAATAAGGCAGATACTCTAATTAGCACTAACTATGGTGTGAATGAAGGCATCAGACTGCTTACAGCAAAGCGAATCACTCAACAATCCAACTTCAAGTATTCCGCTAAGCTACGCAACATATAGATTTTTCGCGATTTTCAAACGCAACTTAAGATACAAATTCTGCTCAGATTGCAAAAAGGGATACTTGAATATGCCACTATAATTCATGACAGTGCTTGTGTGTGTTAAACCTCTTCTCTGTCTCCGTCTTTGCGCTTTCACACCATTCACTTTTGATGGGTTGATATGATCGATATGTGCAGTTCAACATCCCAAAACCACCATATCATTATGAGAGACGCCGAAGTGGAGGGCCCCGGAAATTTCGACCAACTGGGGTTCTTTAAAGTGCACCCAAATTTGAGCACACGGGCCTACAGCATTTCCGCCTCCAACCGTTCACTTTTGAAAATTATGCCGTAACCTCGACCCCTGTCAGTAATGTGACATCAGGGATTTCAATCTTGTTTTAATTGCACGAACACTGAGTGACACCCCTGCTTCTCTTTCAAACGCTTCCAGTCGTGCACTAACTTCCGGTTTTTTTATATATCCATAAAAGGTATTAGAAATTGATGGTTTCGTACAAGTTTAGAGTAACTATGGAGACATATAAACTCAAACCTCATTATAACAAAGTTGCATCTTACAAAAACATGTTTGTTATATTCAAAAATTTATTATGAAGCTTTATTTGTAACACATCTAATGCAAAACTATTTTTCATTTACTTTGTTATAACTGATATTTCGTTATATCTGGCTTCGTTATATCAGATTCGTGTGTAATATAGGACGATGACTGTGCCAAAGATAAAGGCCAGATAACTGTCGGCATAATTATGAAAAAAAAAAATTGACCACTGCGGCACCTGGTGAAGCATGTCTCAACTATGCACTCCTTTCTATGTGGCCTTCCGAGATCTGCCGTTCAGTTGGAGCGTGAAGAAAAGAGCCAACAGCGACAAAGAGAAATACGGGCAACGCCGTTACGATGAGAATGCACAAAATGGCAACTCACCGTGCGGACTGTTTGGGTTTGTGAGGGTGATGCGAAGCAGGCACTTGTTGGACATGGCGAGCACCAGTATCTGATTGCTGACGACCAGGTGCGTGATTGGATGCGGAGGCCTGCGCAGAGAGCAATAACAGTGACTAATCTGCACACGTGCGTCGTAAAGGGACAGGTAGAGGACTCCCGACGCCAATTTTGGAAACTCGAAATGCTTGCGTTGTTTGAGAGCCCTGGGTGCAAGGGCACCCCTGACCGATTATGAGTGACGAGTGTTGCCCATGAAATATTTTAATTTGGTTTTAGAGAAAAAGTGCATGTTCGTCTGGGTATTCTGGTGCAATTGAGATTTTGTGTGGTTTGATGTAGACCGGTGGTCCCCTCGTGATGTTGCAGAGGTTTAGCAAGTATTGTAGACATCGGAGAACGTTTTTGGGGCACTCACAACAGCCCGACTGGTCCCCAGCGAGGACTATTGTTCGCCACCCCTCTCGCTCTATTGTCGAGCTTCTCCCCAAGGTGGGCTTGACTATGTGCGCCAGGAATGCTTTTTTTTTTTTTTTTCTGAGGGGAATATGCTTGAAGCACCCACATCGTTTCATTCTTCACCAGCCGTGGGGGCCCCCATTTGAAAACACCGTGTGCAGCGTCACCGAAGCTTGAGTGCGCGTAGTCTCACTCGCTGCCCCGCTGTGGGGCGCTAGTTTCTTATGGTATTTAAGTGGGCGTTTCGAACTGATGCAAAATCGTACTGAATCAACAATGCTAGCATTAATTATACCACGCTTCAGAGTATTTACGATTCAATTACAGCATTATCAGACACAAAGTTACAAATTACAGTAAAAAAGTCGCAAACGAAACTTTCCCTTCAGAGGTGCTTTAAGAGAAAAACTATTTTTATTATGTTAGTAGATTTCTTTTCCACAATGCCCAAATAACCAAACTTGTTGTAAGGAGACGCTTGGTAAGATAGAAAGTACACAAAAAGAAAATGACGCCACCTTGAAATTCCCACACCAAACCTCTTGATGTCGTAGATTTTGATGACATTTACAAAGCCCTACCTGGCTATTAGTAAACATAAAGTACAGTGTTCTCTGAGGAGGCCATATAATTAGCGTACGAAGCTTCAGAGAATTTTCACGAGCAAATGTCGCCTCAAATACCAAAAATGCATTTTGAAATCCGTGACGTCACATGCAGCGATTTCGGCACCAAACTTCAGAATGAAACTTCTACCTTGCTTTTCTCTTATAGTAATAAAGCTATGATGGTGAAATTGACAGCATTAAACTCCTCAGAGTGTAATTTATCAATATAAACATTAATTTTTTTTTAATTTAGTGTCCCTTTATGGTCAATGCCCTAACCGACCATACAAACCGTACATCAATCGTGCGACTGACTTCCACGAACCCGAAAGACGCAGAGACTATAATAAACCTATACTGACAATGTAGCCCTTTGTGACGTGGCACCGTCGTTTGAAGACACGATTCACTGTTGCCATTCCTGTGCCCTGCTGGCAAGGAGACCACAAGACAGTGAGCCAACGGTAAACTGTGCATTCCTGTTGCCTCAAGTTCTTCATCCCTCTTCAGGCTCAAATATTTTACAACACAAAATCACTTAAGCAAAGACAGTGCAGTGTTTCATGCCTTCACTGCGATGTGGCTCCCTGGTGGGTCACGGTCTATGCGATCACAATGCAACAGGCATGCTTCTCCTTGCTGATGTCATAATTTCACCAAACTTGAACGAAGAGGTAGTACTGTTAAACCCCTCTATAAGAAACGTGCTTCTGGCAGCAATGCTTGTCTATTATATGAGGTGTCCTCTTATAAGCAGGGTATCTCGTATGCATTTTCTTATCAACCCATATTTTACAGTAGGCACACTGGTGTCTGTTATACCCATTGATTCCTCATACTGAAGTTTCTTATAAAGGGGTTCGACTGTATTCTCGTTGCAAGGGGTCGTAAATAGTCAGAAGAATACTGTTCTGGTGTAAGATGGCCAGACCCAGCGGTGAACCTCGACACACTGAATGAAAACATTTCCATTCTGCATGTGGTGTGACCCTCTGGCGACCCACGCTCAAGAAGTCTCTGTCATGTGCCATCCCATGTCCAAGAAGTCTCTTGGACATGGGATGGCACTGTTGCTTTTAGGGAGAAAAGTGGCAGCCTATTCTTCTGTTGTGTTGCTTGCCACCATTTTGCTGGGGGTTTTTTATGAACATTTCACTCGAATAAGCTGCTCCACGCAGATACCATGCTTTTTACCGATGCCAAAAATCGCACACTTCAGAAAAAACAATTGTCCATTGCATTTTTTGGTTTCTGTTACTTTGGTTTTCAACACAGCTCCATGCGAAAAGGCAAAATAAAGCTCTGCATTCTTCAAATAAGCGTGCCAAATCACAGCCACAAAGGTGGCAGCGCCATTCCTTCAGAGCGGATGAAACAGGGCCAGGTGTGTCCCATTGGTGGGTCGCAATGCACCTGGTGGATATGCCAAATGACCCACAGGTGGGTCACTCCGCGTGTAAAACACGACCTCAAGAAAGCGTGCCGCAGCGAATGTGTTCACGAGCGTTTGGAGTGGAGTGTTTAGGCAAGAATTTCAGAAATACTGTTTTACCTCTTTGGGAATGCTCGCTGCCAGCCAATAACTACTGCTTACGATTTGAGTGGCTCCCTGAATTCGGTTTATGGAGAAATGTAGCGTGACATGACTGTATAACCACAAGAAAAAATATGTTGTAGCCACAATGAATTGCTGTAAAATAAAGCGACAATTTACTCTAAGACTTCAAAGTGGTTTAAGTTTGGTCTCCAGAGCCGAGGCATCAAATCATGAAAATGTCACGCCCTAACAGACGGTCAATCATAATGCGCGGCGCAAAGGGGTTAAAGAAAGCCATAAAATTTTGAATTCATTTGCCCAACCTACTAAGACGCCATTAAAAACTGTCACCTTACTTCACTCTAACATTTACAATTTTCAAGGTACAGATCCCTAGAGAATCGTGGGTTACGAGAGAGTTTGAGGCAGCTGCGTAAGCAAGTAATGAACACCTACGTGAACGTGATCCTGGTCTTCTTGAAGATCGGCGCCTCCATTTCGAGCGAGGCATTGATGTAGCCCGTGGTCTGAAATTGAGAAAAAACTCGTGCAATGCAAGTTCTCCGCAGAGCTGCAGTCGTAGCGCCACTGCTACCACGAATTCTCCCGTGCGAAGACATTTCCATCTTTTTCTTCTTTTTTTTTAAGACTGCTTTTTACGCTTTCGGTTAACGTTCACAAGGATCAAGAACCAGTTCTTGTCGCTCCGCATCTAAATGAAAACGTCTATAGGACGTATCGGTTTAAGACAAGACGACGCCACGTCCCTTGGTTCGTTAAACATGAGTTGTCACGAGGGGAACAACTTAAACAGTTAAAAAAAAAGCAAGCTACATTATACGTCGCCACTGCATAGACTCGTGACGAATAAGAGATGGGAGCGTATCGGCGAGAAAACATCTACAAGGCGTCTCGGTCAAGACAAGATAACACTGCCTCACTTTCGAAGTGAACCAAGCTGACGCCGCAAACTTGACAACTTGTTACGAGTAGAACTAGTTTAACAGTTTAAACAAATCAAACTACTCCAATGATCGGCAATGCAGAGAGTCGTGACGAGCAACAGAGGAGAGAGCAGGGAAATGGCTATGCTGCGACAAACTTACCAGTTCTGGAAAAGCAGTCCGGCTGGCAGAGCCCAGATAACCGGCCGACTGCGAGGTCACTTCTTCGTACTGATCAAACAAAGAAGCCATGTTCCCTAATACTGAGCGCCCCTTTATCAGCGCCAGAGATCACCAGTATTCGAAACTTGCTAAACCTTCAGAACCGAGACACCAACACAGGGCGGGGGGGCGTCGTATGTGATACTACCCATCATCCTGCGTTTCATACAGGACTTTCGTACACGAAACACCGTTCACGCGTCGAGAGGCGTCGGTGTAGTTCAGAAAACGCTCTGACGCAACAGACGTAGGGTTTATTTATGCCCGTAAACACGGCGTTACGAAAGATTAGCACGAACTGTAAACAAACAACTGCACGTTCACCATAGAAGCGGCCATGACAGCTATTAGTGTTGCCGACCGAGCTACTCGAACACCGCTACGTACAGAGATATGGACCGTAATATGGGCAATGAGGACACTAAGCACACAAAAAAGTTTGCAAACAAGCCACCACTGTGAAAGCACTTGAGCCATCAAGTTTTTTTTTTCTTTCCTCTGTCTTCTAACCTTTTCTTGCTTTAGCGCATTGAGGACGAAAACCCGTAGTCCAACCATTTCTGCTATCATGCCGGCAAAATACCAGCGCAATCTGACACGAACATTGACGTGACAGATTATCTCATGATAAGCCTATCGCATGCGATCATAAAACCCCTTTCCCTCCCCAAGAAAGTATTCATAGCACTCAGCAGTATGTACTGCATGCATTCATGTGGTATTTCGAAGGTGACATAAGGAGCTAAATAGATTTATGCGGTGACATATGCAGTATCTACGAGATATAAAAGGCAAACATAGCCCACAACATATTTAAGATTAATATTAAAGGGCACGCGACATGCGGAGCCTCTATCGCCGCTGACATCAATGAAGAGGCAATATAAGAAAACATACGTCATCAGTTTGTGTTGGCTAGTTGATTGCTGGCACGCGCCTTGCCCTTCCGCTACCTGTGAGTATCGTGAGTATGATTCCTTGTTTTCTCGCAGCCCCGATAAATAAAGTTGTTTCTCCGAAAGGGAATTTTTGTTCAGCCAATGTGGCCAAGATACGAAAACAACAACAACAACAACCATCATGACGTAAACCGAAACCCATGACGTAAAGCTGACGCACGCGCATTCCTCCCAATGCGTGGATCGATGCGAAACTTTATTTGAAGTCCTAAGGTACAGCGTACTAGACCTGAGGTGCACGACTGAACACGCAGTGGGCCACTCCCACCTTGAGTCAGGCCAAACACGACCGCCGCATCGCGGGCCCTATATAAGGACAGCCCACAGTTGATGCCCGACATCGGGGCTCTTAACGGATATCCATGCACTTGTCTTCATTGTATTGGTCTGTGGCCCGCAACGAGGGACAATAAAGCCTGTGGTCTAGGCTAGTGAATTCGTTGCAGTGCCTGTTGGGATCAATTTCATGCAATAAAGCCGGGCTTTGATACGAACTCTTCTGCAGTAGCCTGAGAGTCAAAGCCTGCTCTCAAAGAAGTTAGGAAAGGGAAAGTTTTACCTGCCGAGATTTCGTTATAAGTGGTCGCGGTTATTGATCTCTTTTTTCCACAACTGCAGGTTGGCGGGGGAGTTCTCCATGGTAGCGGAAAGTGAGACCTCGCATCTTGGAGTAGGCCAGCTTATTTAGGTTTGTGTCTGGCTGAGCCCTACCAAAATGCCAAAAGGCCTTGGGTTTCAACAGTGAGAAGGACCGGAGTCAGCAAACGTCCAGTGAAGTCGATCCTCCAAGTTCAACGGCAGTGTCTACGCAGGAGCAGACAATGACTTACCTTGGGGGCTTTACTCTCGGGCCATAGATTTTCTAGAATATGATTAATAAAGTTCTTGTTATGCCAAGACCAGCTCATATTTCGAACTAATCACAGATGGCGTATGCAGCTGGCGTCTCAGCCGATACACGGCAACACAACTTCGCTCGTGCAAAAATAAATAATCGCGTATTGATACAACAAATGAGTAATAAACGAAGCGCCTCAGAACACGGTGGAGTGGAATAACTCAACGTACGTGTGTTGACAGTTTAATAGCAGACTGAATATAGAGGCACATTTCCGGCATTTTAATTGGTCCTTTGAGTGTTAAACATTTTAATTGGTCCTTTGAGCGTTGGCAGGGGGATGCAAAAAGGACACTTGCGCACTCGATACACTCCGCCCCCCCCCCCGAAAAAAAAGGTATACACCAGTGCTCTTCCCCTCCTCCAGCCTTGCAACGCGAGTCTACACTCCCCCCAAGACTGAATCTTGTCGACGACCATGCCCATGCATCACGAACACAAAACGAAAACTTGAAAAAAAAAATACGTGAATTGGTGGTTGGTCACATGCGCGAATTGGCACGCCCGTGAGGAATAATAATTGCGTCATGTGGCTCGTAAGCTGTAATATGCGTCGGCGATGCTCCCACGCTCAACACGTGCGATGACAGGCGTTCACGCCATTGCAAAAAGCGCGGACAAGTACAGCCACGAATGTTTCTTTCGGAATAGGTGTAACCATGGCTGTGTGCGTGGTAGGCGGATGCTCAGTACCGCCCTTTTATTACTTCACACTTTGTGCGTGCCTCTGTGGCACATGCATGCTGCATCACTCGTCAATTTCGAAAGATAAGTTAGCAGGTGTGTAAGGCATGTATGTATGTATTGCAAAGTAAGAAAAACACCAACCAATGGAAAATACACACAAGTTAAAAAAAAAGACGTTTCAGCTCCCCACACGGGAGCCTTGTTCACAGCGACCGCAAAGGGCGTAGTGCACTCTTATGCACGTTTCATCACCTGCACGTTGCAGACATCGCGCGCACACAGGGGGGAGTGTCCCAATATTTCTGTTCAACGTTACTTAGCGCTATGTTTTTCCCCGACCAGACGGGATTCCTTCGGACTCTTGTATGTATGTATGTATGTATGTATGTATGTATGTATGTATGTATGTATGTATGTATGTATGTATGTATGTATGTATGTATGTATGTATGTATGTATGTATGTATGTATGCATGTATGTATGTATGTATGTATGTATGTATGTATGTATGTATGTATGTATGTATGTATGTATGTATGTATGTATGTATGTGTGTGTTTTTGGCACGTGATCTCAATGTTTAAGAAGCTTATAAAGACGGCGGAAGATAGCAGTATTTTTGATAACAACACATAACATAACTACGCTAGGCTCGTCACACAGTGCAGCCGACGTAATTCGTCACGTGACCTTTTGGCGTTTAAGGATAAGGTGATTCTTAAGAGAGAAAGGAAGAGAAAAGTGAGCCCCGTAACTGTCTGCTTCAGTGAGCGACACAACAGTAGCTCACAAGGGATGGGGGTGAGGAGGGATAAAAGGGGTAGGAGAAAAGGTGTAGAAAATAGGAAGACACGTGAGGTGGTAAGCCAGAGGGAGCGACAACAAACTGAGGGGATAGGAGAGATAGGAAAGATGGAAACACGGTCACAGGAGTCCGAGCATGGGGCACCACTTGCGAGATCTCTTGTCGGTGTCAGCAGATGGCGTAGAGCAAGTCCAGTCGGTCAGAGCTACACTGTCGTCAAAGGTCGTCGGCGTCAGGAGGTGACGTATGGCGAGCCCAGTCGGCCAGAGCTACGCTGACGCCGGAGATCGCGAGGGTACAACCGGTCAGCACGGAATCCAGCAAGCGAAAAAAATTTCTTCATTGGACCCGCCCACTGCTATAGCATTCTGCGGAACCTGATTGACAGACTTGCGGGCGCAGACTTGTATAGTGTTCCATCCATATTGCAACACAAGCTTAGTTTAATGTCAAGGTTTCTTGAATGTCCCCGCCAGACGACAGCCAGTGTCACGCATACGGCTGGCAGCGCTTTGTTCGTTATGCGGTAATCACGTGAACTAGGCGGCTGCGCGTGATCGACAGCGTCCGCACCGGAAGACACGCTTTTCGTGTCTTCCCGTCATGCATTTAATCATTCGTACCGCCAGCGTCCCTTCCTTTTCGCGTATATCTCTCTCTTTTGTCTTTTCTCGTTACGTCACGCAGCTCTCTCTGTTTCTCTCGATCGGCCTCTGTTTTTAGGCAGGTATACGTGACTCCTGTGTCCTCGGTAAATCGATACGAGACGACCGTACCCCGAACGTTATGCAACGGGCGTTACTATATTACTCCGTTTCCGGTCACGCCCGGTACGTCACGCCTTGTCTGGCGTGTGCCGGATCGTCTGCGATGTCGTCTATTGAGACCCATCCGTGTATTAGCAGACGATCGACGCAGAACAGACCACGATCGCAAAAAAAAAAAAAAGTTTTGTTTTTATTGTTGAAAGTCCGGCTGTATCCAATTAGGTATCTCTTCGAGCCGCATTGATACCTTAACGGCGTACGCAATGGGCAATTTCTGGCGGAAAGAAAGGGCTAATTCCCGACGGCAGCGCAGCCTAACACATCCATTTTGTTACAGCACGATTTTCAGTCGAATAATAACGCGCGCTGGTCATTAAGGGTAACTGAATGGATTGACAGAGTAAGCAAACGCACAAAGGGGATCAGAAAGTTAAGCGGGCCGATGAGATTGAAAAGTTCGCAGGCATAACGTGGCAGCAGAGAGCACAAGACCGGGTTGATTGGCGGATCATCGGAGAGGCTGTTCCTGGAGGGAACGTAATCGATGATGATGATGATGATGATGATGATGATGATGATGATGATGATGATGATGATGATGATGTGTTTGTCTATTCTGTGTTTCCCGCTGACTGTGCGCCGCCCGTCAAATCTGCAATTTATACGAGCTTCACTAAAAAAATTAGCAGTGGCTTAACTCGGCTATAGGCCAGGATATACGTAACGTGAGCGTGGGGGGCACCTCCTTGATCTGAAGTGGGGACCCGGCTGGCAGGGATGGTAAAGTGTCATTTTGTGCTCGGTACCGATAAATAGATAGTGGAATTTTATTTGCCATGGCAAAAAAAAAGTCGCTGGGGGGGGAGGGGGGAGCATGGGCTTCGATGTGCCACCCCCTGCCTACGCCCTCTGGTTTCTCCTTAAGTTCCACCCCCTTCTCTCTACAAAAAATCAACCTTTATTAAGGGTTGATTTGATTCGAGAGAAGGAACGCGTCTAAGCTTAAATCACATGACTATAGTAGCAGTTCTTTGCTGCATTCCGCCACATTGTGATCGTCTCAAACTGTAACAATTTTTATATATCCTTGTTTGCTTCTTGTTTTTGCTCTCACCCTGTTAGGGACTGTATATGGTTTGCGATTTTCGAAGAAGAAAGGACTCAGTGTTTTCTCTCATGTTGGATACCACCGTACGACGCATCGGAGGCTTTGTAGTACATCTTATTTTATAGCTCTTTAT